GTCTACAATATTAAGAGTAATGTGATACAGTTGTCAGTGACGTCTTCCACTGCCAGTTCGGGCCATAACCATTTCTGGATATCGGTTTCGAGCTTTGTGATTGGGTGAGATCAAAACCAAAACAAAGCAAATTTGGCCGAGAGGTGCTGGAAACAAGAAGAAGCTGATTTTTTTTTTTTTTTTTTGTGGCGGCCATGTTGTAATGCGGTAGAAAGCTGAAACAAAATTCGCTAATAGGGACTGGACGTAAGATACCATTAAAAATATTCGTTTATTTCAAACATTCAACATGCATGTCCTCGACATTCTCGCATTCTGGAAGAGTAAAGCGGATTCTTTTTAGCACAAATTCTTTGTAACGCTGTGGTCCTTCCACCAAGAGCGTCACATGAATAAAAGCTCCTCCGCCAGCCTGTTTGTATCTGGAGAACTTCTGGGTAGAGCTTGGCCTCGATGTTACTGTCCGTTCTCCGTTGATTTCCCTATTTTGGGTAACAAGAAAACCAATTAAATAAGGTTGAACCAAAAAACGCGCACTGATAACAATTGGGACGAGTGAGGTGTGAGATCGCGGAATCGGGACGATTTAATTTCTCTCCAGTATAGGTCGAGGAAAGACAATATCTTGCTTCTCTCCGATTTTTAAATAGACATTATCAATTTCAGTCCATCAAGCCTTTACGAAAAAGTAACAGTAAAGCAAGAAAACAGTAACTTACCCTTCAATTCCTGGTTATTTTGCCACATCGAAGCAAAGCATGCAGCTGTATGTTTAGAAAGTGCTGAACCGTACCGATCTGCTGCCCTTTGACATCTCCTAAAGTGTATGTCTTTCTCTGCGATTTGCTGAAAATCTGGACTTCTCGTAGAGCCTCTGGAATGCGTTCCATTTCTCGTGGAAGAGGATAAGCCAGTGCATGCGAGTCATACGCGTTGTCGTCTTCACTTTGAATAACAAGCGGTGTTCCACGTGGAGCTTTGATCTTGAAATTATGATACCTGGAAAATAAACGCCAATAAATACATGAGTGGGATAAAATAAAATCAAGTAGTCACAATCTATATTAAGACCAATACACATGATCGAATTCAATGCAAGAGAATCATACAAGGTATTTTGCGCGCTATCGATCGATTCGCGGGAGAATCTAGGTCTCAGAACACTACAAATTCGGTCCTACAGCTTTTAGTCAGCAGTAATATGTCCTTTACAATTACCCTTTGATTTGAACACCCTGTATAGAAAGTTTGTTTACGTAATCACTGCAAAATTTGAAAGCACGAGCGGTGTTTCTAAACGAGTTTCACAATTACAGACAAGTCCCTTGTGGTTTTAGACGAAAATTTCACTCTCATCAGTTCGTGTAGTTAAACTCCAACCTTTGTTTCCGGAATGCTGTAATAGAGACACTTCGGCAAGGCTTTCCACCAATGTGATTTCTTTATTTTCATCTTCATGCCGCTCTTATCGCACATTTCCCGGATACGATACCTGAAGATGTGAGAGCTCAGTGAACGAATAACTCTTTGTTTTATGTTTGCCCGAAGGAGAACTTACTTGCTGGATAATCACATTTATGTGTTAGATCCGTGGTTTCCTGAAATTATTTTTTAGTGTGCATTCGCCTTGGCTGAATGAATCTCTCTGATGTCAAGATCGACATTGATTCGAAATTTCATCCAGAGCTCCGATTTAAAAGATTCTTTGTTTGTAGCACTGACTCAGGTCCGTGGCAGATTTGTGCCACAAAGACGACAAAGTGTCTCGAGATACTGAATGTGTTCATCCATGCTGTTGGCTTGATCTGAAATTCACAATGTAGGCTTATGAAGGTCCGATAAATAATTGTCCTTTTACTTTAAATTGGCCGGCCACAACGTATGGTTAAAATTTATGGTTTACACGATACTCCGATGGATCTGAACAAAGGAATCCGTCTGGTAGTTTGCACACTAACAGACCTTCAACATTCGTGCACTCGAGCAAAAACTAGAAAATATCGTAACCATTTCCACATGCGATTCCTTTCGCAAAAGGTTGTTGTGTCATCATCTATAGTCCGACCAATCCTCGAATATGGAAGTGCCGCATGGGATCCCTCCTGAGAGAAGAATTTTCAAAAGCTGGAGGGAGTTCAGAAAAAGACAGCGCTACTGCAAGGGCAATTAAAACCCGTATGCAAGCGTGACAGGAATGCTGCAGAAACTTAACCTGGAAACCCTAGCCACTAGAAGGAAAACCGCCGGACGAACTGACGAATTTTTCAGTGGCAGCCCATCTAAAACAAACCAGTGAAAGAAACACCCGTGGAAACCACCCTTTCAAGTTTGTAATCTTCAGGACAAAGAAATATGTCTGTAAGATTTCTTTCTTCCCACGAACAATCAATGAATGAAACTCCCTTCCTGAGGATGTTGTAAATACAATGTTCGTAGACATTTAGTAAATAATTTTTAATATTTAACGGTACTATTTTTAATTTAGAATCTATAATATTGCGCGATTTTAAGTTCTCCGATTTTTGCTGTTGTTATTATTATTTCAACAGTAGGTATGGTCTCTTACGATTTTTAGCAACCCAATAACTGATAAATAGATAAATAGATAATTTTCCATATCACATACTTTCGTTTATTATTGTTTCTTTCGCAATTATTGGCGTCAATTACACTTTCAGTTAGTCGTTTTCGCATACATTAATTTTTTAGTTTTTCGCGCGTATATAAACTTAGTTTTCTCTGTTCAGGGCCTTTTTCTTTTCAGTAGTCGCGCTAGTCGCAGTTTGCTTTCAACCAGTTCCTTTATTCTTCATTTCGTCCTCGGACAGTTTTTTTCGTCAAGCGCAGTTTTGCAGTAATCGTAGCAATGTAAGTACTGTCGTTTCAAGTTGACTCTGTGTATCACGAAGTTTCACACATCGTTCATAATCGTAACAATGTAAGTACTGTCGTTTCAAGTTGACTCTGTGTATGTCTTTCTTCTCACTTTTACTTAATCAATTGTTGTAATTTTGTATTTATTTATAATTTTTAAGTTTCAACCCACATCGTTCACCGTCAATAAATCGCCTGTTATATCAGTAAGTGTGGTGTTGAGAAGTTACGATTGCCGCAGTCACAACGTGCTCTAGATCTCTACAAATCACGAAGCACAAATCAAGCGCGGATTGGGAGACAAAAAGTACGTTGTGTAAGCATTCGAAAATTAGCGCGCAAAACGTCTGATTGCTTTGGAACACAACATTCTTTTCAAAAGAGAGTCAGTTAAGCAAATAGGTTTACTAATTAAAGTAAAGGAAACTCATAAAATTGTCGCCTAAAGTAGGAAATTCCTTATGACAAGGAATTCATTGTTGATAGAAGTCTCTGGTTATATAGAGGAGACAGAGATAAGCGCCAATAATATTGATAACAGAACGAGAGAAAACCCTCCGCAATTTTGAAATAAGATGATTTCAAAAAAATACATCGCGTATATTGATCAAATAGAAAGGTATATGGTAATTTACGAATAACTCTGAGGCAGAAGTTTCCACCGTGACCGTCACTTGAAGAAACTTCCATTCCAACACTTTGGGCCACTAGTTCACCAGCGGTGGTCTTAAGTTATTGTATCATCCCTTTTAAAAACAGCGCAAATGCTTTAAACAAATAAGAAAACATTTAGATAATGATCCTACCAACTAATCGTTTCCCCAAAGAAGGTGGAAGAGGTCATCATGGATGAAACCTTCAGAAATTGCCTCAAAACATCATCCAGCACGCCGTTCACTCGTGGAGATTCATTGAGTGAATCAGCTGGTTTCATATCACAGGGGGTACAGATAAAAAATGGAAAACAAAGCTAATCAGGTTGAAATCAAGACTCCCACCCCCTCCCTCTCAGGCGATAAACAATGAAACGGACCGCTCCCTTAGCACTTTCGAGGTAAAGTGTACAATATTTTTCATGTATAGATATGTAAAAGAGAAGTTAGTTAAGATAAAAGAGAGACAGATAATACCTATAAGCGTTTCTTCGTTTCTTCATTCATCAAAAAAATTCTCGAACGTGATTAATTGTCGCCAGCCCGATTTGAGCTCTAAAAGGTAAGTGTACGCGTCATGATTGTAATTGGACAGTGTAATGGAATAGTTGACATGTCATGCTTGTGTAAGTGGACAGAATGCGTCATGTGAGTTCGCGGTTGTCACGCATTTCGCCGAGTTAGGTGTTGTTTGTTTGTTTTTCTTTTATAGAAATTACAACACCCATGCCACGGAGTTGACAGAACAAAAGGTACGATTTGAGTGGATAGCCATCATTGATCATTCAGTGAGCCTAGAGATGTTTATCTTTTTGGTCTTGATTCTCCAATTTTAGCAAGCGATTGGACAAAATTTCGTGCCACCTGCATTGTTCTTAACAGCTCTCTTTAGCATGTTTACTTGCTAAGGATGGTCTCAAGAGAGACCTTCCTTATCGCTAAGAAACCTCTGCTTGCCAACTTTTCACCCTAACAAACCTCTGCCTGCTAACTTTTCACGCTAAGAAACCTCTGCTTATTAATTTTTCACGCTAAGAAACCTCTGCTTATTAACTTTTCACGCTAAGAAACCTCTGCTTATTAATTTTTCACGCTAAGAAACCTCTGCTTATTAACTTTTCACGCTAAGAAACCTCTGCTTGCTAACTTTTCACGCTAAGAAACCTCTGCTCATTAATTTTTCACGCTAAGAAACCTCTGCTTGCTAACTTTTAACGCCCGGAAACCTTTGCTTATTTGTACGATGCCGTATCAAGATGTGTGCTTTGATACCTACCTTTAAAAGGTTTTCTATTTCTCTGATAAACTGGCTTTTAATTTATCAATATCCTTACTGAAAAACTAAAACCCTAAAACTCCATGGATCAGAACTTCGGTCATTAAGTAGAATTGAAAGGAAACTAAAGACAAAAAGAAATTTTTTAAGGTTCATTTGATAAATTTTACTCCGACTTGGTCTTTTTGTTTGGTAAGTTCCGGTGAAGTTTACATAAATAGAGACGTTCAGCATGGACACAGTAACAGTTTGCTGAAGTTACATAAACCATCCGGATCTTCAGAAGACTTTGAAACATCCATGTAAGTGATTAAGTGACGTTTTCCTTCCTAAGTTCTCTACTTTAATAGGGATCTGAATCTATTTCAAGACTTTAAAATCGCTTTTCCGTTTGTTACGAGGCTGTATTCTTTTTTTCTCAATGATTTTAGTTTATTGGAAAACAAAACTAAGACGATTAAAAAAAAAAAACACGGGAATTCCACAGCTTTGATTAAAATACTTAAATCTGCAATATCAACAGATACATACATTGTGAAGTTTGAACTACAAATGATATTTCAAGTTCTTGTATTGTTAGAGTTTGACTTGTCAGTTATTCATCATCGATGTTTTAACTATCAAGTGAGCAGATCACGATTGATTTGAGTTTTCCTTAAATATTAATGAAGAGGGAGGTGCAACTTTTCTAGACCAACTGGGCAAAGATAAAACGCAAGAAAATAAGACCAAGGCAGTTTTGGATCCTACACTAAAGATTGATCGATACTTTATTTACATCGCTCCCTTACTTGCTTTGGAACTTAAACATCAGTTTAAGTTCCTTTTTAAAAAAAATTCCGATTCAGCTGTCGCTGTAAATAAATGAATGACTTCTTTATTAATATCTATATTTAATCGCTCCGTAGTTAGAGGATTTCAGAGCATCATCACACAAGTGGTTATAACATTTTCATTTCTGTTGTAGTTTCCCAAGCATGGATTTGAAGTTTCAACTGTGCGTGTTGGTACTTATTTTGGGAATCACAGTGGACGCTTACCGTTTCAGTCCCAGAAGTAAAGGTAAGTTGGCCAGCACTTTTCGGTACTAAGTTAGTCGGCTTCGACAAGCAAATTGAATCGAGAAGTTTATTTAAAATATTCAAGCCATACTTTTAAGCCTTTAAGGCGAAAAAGGCTAACTTATCTGAGTGGATATATACATAATCACATCAATTAAATAGCAATAATTACCAGGCTTAGGGAAATTTCCTGAAGGATACTCACGCTCGGTTTAAAATTTCCTCTCCCAGCAACTAAAGTGACTGAAATGAAGTAGATATCCACTGCTAGACGTAGAGGCATAATCAAGCCTGGGTCTCGGGTTTCTCTTACTCACGAATTTACCAAATCACTTAAGTTGCAGCTGATAAACGAACTGAAAGCTGTGACTGGCCTTACGGATATTGTGTTTACATTCATGATCCATGTCCACCAGACGCACCGATTGAATGTGCTAATGGATGTCGATCTCCCACAAACAAATGTTGCTGCCGGTAAGATGTTCAGCACAATGTTTCTAAATTTTCTTAATATCCTAGCAAAATTTTTCCTATTAAACCGGCCGGTGTTCTTCATATCAAAACTGCCTTTCTATCTGGGTCTTTTTCAATCCTACATCGTTCAGATTTATTTATATCAAGGAAGTTCTTATTAATTCCATTTCCGACCATTCATTTTTTTTCGGCATTGCTAAGTCTCCAAAATAGTAAACACAGCTGTGAACATAGGAGATCTTTATTGCTTGGGAGGGTACTCAGATTGTTAAACTGAACTAATTTCCAGGTTATTAGGTTTTATTGACTGAGTTGATAATGTAAATTGGCCACCGTAAAGAGTTCCTAAAGCTGACGTTTCGAGTTGTAGCTCTTTGTCAGAGCGAAAAAGAGAATTGTGGGTTGTGTGTGTTTTATACGAAGAAAATGGAGCTAATTCCTATTTTTCTCTTTCGAATATATTTATAAAAAAATCCTTCCCCCAAAAAAAAAACTTAATGCATTGTTTTCCATGAGATCACGCTTTTTTCACATAGCCCGTAATAGTTTTTGGTTCTAATTCCTCCGCGCGGTTCAGACAAACATCTCTCCTGTGCCATGTGCTTTTGCGTGTAATGTCATCTGTTGTAACAACTGAAGATGACTTCTAAGCCCTAAACGGCGCAACATAAATGCAATAAGGTCCAAATAGTAGCAAGTTAAACTGCTTATATTTAAGACGTACTTCACTTACAGATGAAACTAACCGCAATACTTTTCTATTCTCTAGTCACCCTTTTTGAGGAAGAATTAGCTGAGGATGGATCATCAAACGCATCGGCTTTCAAAGAGATAAACATCTGTTCGTAACGATTCGTAATGAAACATAACGTGACGTGTAGTTAATAAACGATACAATTGTTAGTTAAAACTAGCTGCAGCCTGATGCAAAATAAAAAAAATAAAAAATAAAAAAAGCATCTCAACCAACTCAATGACTGAATGAATCGAAACAAAAAACAGGGTTTGTAAAACCTTTTTGGGCATTTATGACGTTAGAATGTGTTTTGAACTAATCAATATTTGTTTCTTGCGTTACCTTGAGGGAGAGGGGGGTGGGGGGAGTTTGACAAAAGGCAAGAGTAGTTCCTAAACTCTCCCGTCTCTCTCTGACTTTGGGGGTCGGACGAGGAAAAACCTTTTTAACGAGCTCAGGGACGGGGTGGAAAGTTGAACTGCCATAATAGTGATGTAGAGAGAGGTAGCAACGGCTTATTCAGATATTACTGGAACTAGTAGTTTTACCGTGAAAAAAGTACCGATATATCGAAAAAGGTATCGAGAAAATGGTGAATTTTCAGCGCGCTCCGGGCCATGTCAGAGATCTGATGTCACAATAGAGGCGAAAGAACGGGCTTAAGTGCGAATTTACTCTCGTCGGCATAAAATGTAGACAGCCGTGGTGATGAAAATGAGCGAAGATTTCTCGAAATTCAATGTAGGAGAGAGTAAAATTATTTGCGGGAGAAGGGGCATTTATTTATGTAATGGTGACAAAGGAAAGCAAAAAGCTACAAAATTTTCGTCTAAATGAAAAGGATCAAGCAGGAACCAGTTGCTGACTACAGACGGCTTTCCGCTCTAATAACGGCAAACTTCTACCTGAATTTTTTACCATGGTTCAATATTATGTTGAGAATTTCAACGAGACTCTGAAGTTTTAATTTTAATTTGCTTTGATTTCCAAAGACTCTGAAGTTTTAATTATTTTCAAGATTGTGAGAGGGTAAGATAATCATTCCTGCGAGTCAATCTTGCCCTAAGAAGGATATTGGTGATTGCAGTGAAACCGGCTAGAGTTTCTTCTCCCACATAAAGAGAGATCTCGTCTTAGTCAACTAAGGGTGCGAATTGAGATTGTCAGACAAAACACAACAATTTTTCTCTAACAGCGGCGGTTTCATCATCCTGAATATAATGTTTTACGAAGGATCGGAGGTCCATTTTGAGCGGTCCTCTTTTCGACCGAAATTTTAAATAAGCGCCTGGGTGCTTGATCGAAGAAATACTGTAAGAGCTTAACATCATTTTCTTGGCTCGCTGCAGGTTGTTTGGTGCGTATTGCTACTGGATGTATTATACTCAATAACAACCGCGACAGTTTGATAGTGCTAATGAATAACGAACAAAAATTTGAACTCACGACGTCAGTTAAAACGAGATTTCTCTTAGATTTTTTTATTCATTTATTTGTTTATCTTTTTACCTGTTAGACTCTTTAACAAGTTTTGGGTAGCAAAGGTACCGTTTTACCCAAATTGAACTCCGTAACGAGCAACTCTGAACTCCCCTGGAGCTTGCAGTTCTATGAAATGCAGCGCCCGCGGCAGGACAGGATGCAAATGACTCACACTTTGTTTTACGACCATGATGCAACACGATCAGAGTGCGCACACCGCCTGCGCCCGCGGGAAAAACGAACCGAATCCCGTGTTCTGATTGGCTACCCAACCAGACAAGATAACCGCTCGCCCACTTTGATCGTGCTTAAAAAATTTACGAGGAGCGGCCTCACATAGTCCGTAATTCTTTGACAATGTCAGTGATGAAGACAAAAACAGCGGCAGTCAAAATAAAGTAAACATACACGACTCTCGAGGGTTTATTGTGCTACAAACACAGTTAGCTTTCTTTCCAGGCTCTTGAAATAAACAAATAATTTTTGATTCAAAAAGGAACTCAGCCAATATCCAGCCATCTTGACCTCACGCTTGGTCATTAACGCGTATTTGTTGATTTCAGCTCCACAACGCAGTAGAAAACCATTAGCCCTATTTTGGCAGTTTCGCGCCGAGCACTGGCACAGTTGCACATGATTGCACTACCGTACCTAAAAAAGCTTAACTTCCGGAAAAAAATTAATTATGGGCTATTATTGTAACTCTCAGACTCTGCAAATGTTTATCTCCTCAGGGAGTTTGCTCCTCATATAGTTTTACTTCGATATTTTATTGGTGTTGGTTTTTCGTCGAAATTTCTTTTAATTAAACTCCGACGGGCTGCGTAAGTAAGTCTCACTTTCTAGATGGTTCATGCCTGAGAGACATGTATTGGCTGAAGCATCATTTCTTTGATGTGTTGAGGTATTTGCAGAACTGAATTAATGCCCTTTGGCAAAGATGACCTCTTAAGGACAGACCATGATCAGGTGATCAATGGGTGGTATTGGTACATCACGAGCAGGAATTTCCAACTGAGACAATGATCTCTCGTGCTTAAAAATAACAAATGGGATATTTGTTTGAGGAATTATTCCGAGAAGCTTGCTTTTCGGAATATGGTTATGCCTCCTTTTACCAGTAGGACTTTCTTTGTCACATCAGCAGCCGTTGGTAAAGAGAGGATGGTTTCCTTCCTTCTCATTCCTTCCAACCTTTCTTAGCAACTACAGCAAAACCAATCAGCTTTCTTAACCCTTTAACCCCAAAGAGTGACTAGCATCTAATTTCTCCTTACAATATCACCACTGAAGCACACATTAATGTCATGAGAATAAAGGAAATGATCACCAACTCAAGAAACTCTTGATTGTTAGACAAATTCTCCTTGTCAGCACCTTAGTTAATGTACAGAGAACAGTATGGAGAATATCAATACTGATGTTAGGGTGCAAAGGGTTAATATAGATGACTACTAGTTAAATAGCAAGATACATGAAGCAACATGTTATGCCCTCATGTGCTTCAATCCATAGAATATCGTTTATCATCGATGGTTATTTTAAACTTCTGACATCTAGAGCTAACCCCAGACAATTATTCTTTAAAAGAAGAGTATATAATTACTTATTTATGACATTTAAATAACAATGAATTTAAATTAATACAATAGAACCCTGCTTACTTGATCTTGGTGAAATCAAACCCAGTGGTATAAACTTGAACAAGACCCAACTTCCCTTGATGCCATATTTTCAGTCATTTACTATCAGCAAACTCAAACCCCCTCTAACTTGAAGCATTTTTTGTTTCCCTTAGGAGGTCAAGTTAGCAGGGTTCTACTGTGTCAAGAGAAAATGGGAAATAAGGGAAGGGGAGCTAGGGCAAATTTTTGTAGTCCCCTGTCAAGCACCCCTCTTCCTCAATTAAACCCATTCTTGTAAATCTTCCCACATGCATGGTAGTTTCCTTTTTCATGTTCCAATTCCTCTTTTTCTATCACATTTGCTATTTATGGTAAAAGCAAAACCTCACCATGCTTTGTAAAAAGGACTCTTAAAAGTTCCCTTACTCTGTTCTCTTAATTACAAAACTAACAACACTATAAGAAAATTAAAATAGATAAAAAAAAGCCTAACTGGAAAAATATTCAATGTTACTGCCGCAAGTTACAAAAAATTTTATGTATCCTAAAATAAATAGCCAATTCACTGCATCATCCACCTCTCAACTTCAAACAACTAATGTACCCAAAAATTTCAGTTAAAACTGGAATTTCACCTGTGTGAATGTTTTTTTTTGAGATTTCAAGAAGGAAAATGCTGTTTGTTCAAGAATTTCTGACCCACCATTCAGGACTTAAAAGAATCCACTGAATCAAGACCTTATATTCATTGCTGTTTTGTCTGAAAAATAAATCTCAGCTGCCACATGTCACTGATTGAAAATGGAATGCCCACCAATAATGAAATCTCAGATAAATGTCAGTAACCAAGCATCTTCTGCAGACCTTCCCCTCCCCTAAACTAACATTAACCCTATAACTTGTTTTTTTGAATTGACTGTTGTGGAGGGGGGGCAGGTGTGCGGTTGCTTGGTTACAGACATTGATCTCAAAGCTCCACACCCTGACTCTCTTCTGTTTTTTGCATTTGAACCCTGAACCTAAATTGAAATTACCATCAAGTTTATATGGAGAAGGGTTTCCAACACCACTCCTCTCAAATCTAACTGATTGGTGAGATTAAAAGCTGTACAATGTACTCAGCTCTGCATAATTGAAAGTTGGTTTTGCAACATACAGCCTCACAAATGCAACTAAATACATGTAAAATTGATGCTAGTTGTCAACATAAAATCCTACAACATTTTTTTGCTTTTTGTCATTCTTGATTCTTGAACAAGCCATAGGTCTGATCAACACTAGGAAATTGTTTCACCTTTCTAGCCTAATGTCACATCTAAGTGTATGCCTAAGTTTACCTTTAGTCTAATCAGTGACTAGATACCTTAAAAGAAAACAGAAATGCATAAAGTTATTGTTCGAACTTTATGATGTGCTCAGTGCTGTTCTCAACTCCAATCTCTTTGCAATCACATAGTAGAGCCAGGAAGCAAGTGAAACATCTGCCAAATGCACTAGCAAGGCCAACTCCCCTGCTGTAATCAACTTTGCTCAAATGTGATGGCATTGATATCAGTCAACACTTCTGAAGACAACTGGGCAAGATTACTTGAACAACTTTCTTCACATCCTCAACGACTTGACATGGTGCCCAGTGCCCCTCAGACTAAGACTGATTCCCCCACACACACACAAATTTAGCAAATGAATGTAATCACTTGGCAGGCCAATCTGTTTTGGTCGCTAACCATAACTATGATGGATACATGATTTTTGTCAGTCTTTAGCAAATGGAAAACCAGGAGGCTTTGTTGGACGGGGTCGTACCCCTTCAAAAGCATCATGTGCTTGGTGAGCTGAAACAAATAAGTTTGCAAATTAATTTTATATCAAATGTTAAGCGGGAGACAGGAGCACAAAGAGTGGGGGAGGGGAAAGGAAACAACACCATAAAGACTCATCATGTCAATCGCTCAGATTTTTTAGGGACGAAAGAGAGAAGTTTATAAGGATCTCAAGGTGAATAAAGCGAAGAGATCACACAACTCATTGGGAGGTTCAAAGAAGGAGTTGAGATCCTTATAAACTTTGTTGCAAATAAAAAGGTTGTATTGGGAACAAGGAAGTAGGAGGAAGAAGCAGGGAAAGGAGGAAGGAATAGAGATAGGAAGGAAGTATGTAATGGTGGTAGGATAGATATATCAGAAGAAAGGACCAGACGAGGAAGAGCAAAAGGGGGAGGAATGGAAGGTGAGAAGGAGAGAGGACTAAGGTAGGTAAGATTAACAAAGGAAGGGAAGGAGGGAAAGAAGGAGGGATGGAGAAGACAATAGGGGAGGAGGATGGGAATGAAGGAAGGGAGGATGGATGAACATTTCAGAATGAACAGAGGGAGAGAGTGAGAGTGAGAGAGATGGAGAGTTGATAGAAAGGAAGAAAGGAAGAAAAAGAAAAGGTGAATGGGGCAGAACAATGAGTTACAATGTAGGAGAAATTGATTATTGATAACTTACATTTGTAAAAATCATCAAAGAATTCAACATCCTTAACAAGATCTCTCACTTTATTTAGTACCTGTTTAGAGAAATATTGATTTAATTATCAATTCAACAACTGGAAGGTTCCAGAGATCAGAAGCTGCTTCTGTGCTAGTACGCATTCAATTACATAATTATCAGTGGAAAACTGCACATTAATACACAACATACTATATACCATTACACTTGAAGAATCTGAGAACATGTTTCAATGTAACCCTGACTGTGTAGAAACAAAAACCTACTGTTGCATCCTCTACAGCCTTTGCATTTGCATTCCAGATTTGGATGATGTCATCTCTCTCGCGTACACTGATGCTTATGCCGCAAACTTCATCATCTGAAAATGAAAGAAAAACAAACAAGCAAATCAACTTATGCGTTTGAGTAAGACTACAGTGTATTCAATTCTTACAGGATTTGTACCCTCTTTCAGAAACAAATTTCAAGGACTTTTTGAGGACTCAGATTGAATCTTCCAGGACTCTAAATTTCACCTTAAACCCTTCAAATTCCCAAGATTTCAAAATCAATTCTCCTGATGGTCTCCATAAATTTCCTACAATGTAAATTCTGAAAACTTAATTGCTTGAGTGAAGCAGATTTCCAGGACTGGAAAGTCCTGGAAAATGCCAAAATAAAATACCAGGACTATCCAGGTTTTCCAGGACCCATAAAAACCCTGTTATGAAAAATAATTTATCAACCCTAGTAATAGTGGGGGATCTGAAAAAAAATTTTTTTTTTTTTTGGGGGGGGGGGGCAAGTTGGCAAATTCAGTTGGGGGGGGTGTCTGGTCAAAAAAAAAAATCTCTGACTGTTGTATATTGCTTGGCTTTTAAGCTAAGCTTTTTTCAGTGTAAGTTAGCTTCAGTTGGTGAATCATTCAAATACACATACTTTTAAAGTGTACCAAAAAGACAAAGGAATTCACCATGCAATGAACAACAGAACAGTACCTTCTCGAACATTGTCATTAAATTGTTCACCAATAGCTGCCAACAACAATTCTTTCCATACATTATCCTGTTGATAAAGCAAAACACAAAAGTCATGTTCCTTTAAGCCCTTGGAGTGACTGCATGACTTCTAGTTTCTCCATACAGTATAACCATTGAATCAGATGCAATTAGGTCGTGAGAATTATGGAAATTATCATCAATTTCAGAAGTTCCTGATTGTCAATCAAATTCTCCTTGTCCACAGTGTGGAGAGTATGAATATTAAGGTTTTGGTATAAAAAGTTAAACCATGAAGCTCAGCAACCATGCATCCCTTTTTTTGGCTGACAGGAGTAATCTACAAGTCCTCTCCTGAGAATGCTGCAAGCTTGTATATGTATTTTCAGATGTCATTTTTTTTTTTTTTGACTGAACTGAAAAATTTTCATATTCACTCAATTTCTGTGACTTTCCCAAACCTCAAATCAAATCAAAATGATATCAGGAAATTCCATGACTTTCCAGATTTCCCAGAGTTGTCAAATCCTTGATACTTTGTGGGTTTTGCACTCATATTTGTTAAATTAAAATATGAACAACCTGTGCAAGCTGGAATGCAAGCACAATTTGTGTCATGCAGCCTGCTTATTTGACAAGTTTATTAATTTCCCTGTGGCCCTCTCCGCAAAGTATACAAAAGAAATTGTTTCGTGAGTATTCCATTTATGGTTCAGTGTAGAATATAGAAAGTGTATGTAGATCAATACCAAACGACTTATTTGCCCTGTTCAGGTACAACATAGTTTGTCAGTTCAATGACTTACTGTATTATGTTTGACACAACGCATTTTCCAGTATCCACCATTAACATTCTGTTTGTCTTCCCTAATTAAAATAAAACATGAATATAAAATCGTATCATGAATAAAATTTGAGAAAATATCAATTTTTGTAGCTTATGGCCATTAAAGCAGCTTCCGAAGTCATGGACAAAAAAAGACTCAGATTGCAGAAGACACTGATAAACAGATGACAGAGAAAACGAAAAATTAGGAATTCAATAAAACTGATTGAAAAATTTATTTCAAAAGTCAATAAGCCACCTATGGGTTATTTAAGCCTTTAACTCCCGAGATCTGATTGTTATTCTCCTCTCTAACTGCTACACATTTCCTTGTAAATTAGTAAGAGAATTTGATGTTAGATCAAGATAAAAGCTTCTACCTGATAGCTTTGAGTATTCTCATTACCTGTTTGCTGGATTATGTGATGTTTTTGGGGATATTGAATAAATGGTTAAACCATGTAACACTGCTTACCCAAACTAAAAGGTTTTTCTTATATTTGCCCCCACCCATCGATCCAACTTCATTTTTTACTCAAAATTATAGGATAAATATTTATTATTATTCAAGTGTATCAGATGTGTTTTAATCGTCCTGTGCTTGCACAACATGCTGTAAATCAACAGAACCCAGAATGTGAGCAAAAACTTTCAGCTGATCTACATTGATGCAAAAATCTGGTTATTATTTTTGCTTGAAAAATCTGTGATCCAAGAGCTTTCTAGGGCCTTTATGCCACTAGTCTCAAGGTCAATTCATCCCCCTTCATTGAATTTATGAGAGATGCATACCAAAGTGGTTTCCTCTCTCCTCTCATAAAATGGTAGCTTGTTCTAACATCAAGTTGTGAAGGCAAAGGTATATTGTTGAAGACACTCCAAAAACTCTAGGAATTCAAAAATGAGTGAACAAATGTCAAATTAGTAATATAGTTGTTAACAGTTACATGAGGTAGATGTATATGTGCAGGCAGTACAGACATGCATGATGATAAAATGTCCCATAAAAGATTTTTACAACAGTACACAACTTTCCATTTGCATTTACGAATCATCTTTTATCAACTCTCTCTTCATATATAAGGATCGAATTAATCCACCGACAGTCAATTGAGACAAATGATTGATCACGTATATTTATAAAAATAGAGAAAACCAATATACATTGTAAAATACATTTGCAAACACAATCACTTTACCAGCAAAATTTTGAACGCAACGAATAATTTTTGGAAGAGATTTTCGTTAATTAAGAGTCCATTCTAAGTCTTATCGAGTAAATAACGTCATCTTCTTATCAAATCAAACAGGCTCATAATTTATTCACTCCCCTTGTCAAAGTCTAGACTCTGGAAATTGAAATATATTTTAAACTGAACGAATATAATGCGCGCACACCTTTCCGCTAAAAATCAAATACACCGTTACAAAATCACAAAAATGCTTGTTTCTTGACACCGTTCAAAGGTTAGGAGAGGAACACGCGATTCTCTGTCGGATGACCATTTTAGATTTGACAGTTCGAATTACTCTCTCGTTTTTTCGGGTAAAACATGAACTTTGTCAATTAACCATAACCTGAAAAACGTACAATACCTGGATTGTGTGAGCAGTGTAAACCTTTCGGAGATTTGCCGCGTACTCTGCCGCTGTCGCTCCACGAACATATCTAGAAACAAATAATCATTACTTCGCAAGCATCCGAAAACAATAATATTGTTAAGTTTGGAGTTATTCTCACTTATCATGCCATAGAGTCCAGGCTGAATTTAATGGGATTCCACTCTTTTCAGAGCTTTCTAATTCATTCAACGATTGCATTGAAAGATGAGGTGAATTTCTGCCGGTTTCGACGCCATCATTCTCCATCTCGTGGGAGAGATCGGCCAAAAAAACATTTGATATTACTGGAGAAGCTCCTTGCTCGACCGCCATTTCTAGCGACGATCTCGGAACCACAACAAATGACGTCATAAATCTTCCATAATGTCACCTTATCACCTGGGGTCCCGCTGGGGATGTTTCGGTTTCCCATCGTTCTTTATCTAGAACTGATTTTTCAACATAAAAACAGAACATGAAGTTACTTTATTGTGAAACGAAACTACTGAAATTATCAAAAAATATATTTAACAGAATCGAATAAAGAAATATGAAGAAAAAAAATGACTCCCTGTCCATAGTCAGTGACAAATTTCTCGTGACCTCTATACCAAGGCCAGGATACCAAGCTACAATCGAATCTAAAATGGCGTCTTTAGCTGAGCAACTGCGTGCGTTATCGAATCCAGAACCAAGTCGTATCGATTTGGATGAAGACGAATTTGATGTCACAAGAGCACAAACAATCAAAAAGGCGATCGACAGCGAAGACTTTGAAGATCAAGAAGCCCCGGTCGTTAATAATTTACGTAAGAAAACAGCCACTTTGTTACAAGATGTCGACAAGAAGTATGCTGGGCACAAGATTTCACGAGCTCAACTTGAAGCCTCACGAGGACACGACGCTGGTTCAGACGAAGAGGAGGAACATGACGAAGAAGAGGAATCGGAGAGTGACTCTGCAGGTAATAAAAAAAACTCTCTGTGGAAGCCACTGTAGTGAAAATTTAATCTCGTGTGGACGTCTCGTGCTACGTTGTAGCTTAAATGAGCACGTGCATACATAACTCCGTGCATAATAATCATGTTGGCTCCAGTTCAGACGGTGTATTTTACATTAACTGAAAGGGAAGCATATAAATAAGGTTATATTTGTAATGTAGCCGAGAACTTAAAGGTGGTAACTAGGTAAGCGGCACGAAACACAAGGGTATGGCTCTTCATACATCTCATGCGGGTTATTAGGGCGGTAAGCTTGTAGAAAGTGTGGTCTATTTGGGTAAAAAGCGCCTTAAACACAAAGGTTTATTCTTTAACATTAAAGTGGTTGATATTTGCATAGTGATCTACAAGATACAATTTGAAAGATTTCTTTATTTAAATATAATATCCTTGTGTATAATTAGATTATTTGAATGGAGCTGGAAAATCAGAAGATGATGATGATATCAACAGTAAGGAAGATAATACTGATGGAAGTGAAAATGAAGTGGAAGGTGTTACTTTTTCTGATGATAATGATGATGAAAATGTTGATAATGATGAAGAAGACAGTCTACATTCAGGAACTGAAAATGAAAGTGAGGAAGAATTCTCCAGTGTGGGTGAGGATTCAGACGTAAATGGAGATGTTGGTAAAAGTGATGATGATATTGAAGAAGATGAAGACATGGGTAATAATACCATTCAACAGTTTTCCTCAACAAGTCTGAAAGAAGACATTGAGAAAGGAACTGCTGCAAAGCATCAGCTCAGTAAGTTAAAAAATTGTTAGGGAAAGTAACTGGTTTGGAACCCAACAGATTCCTTGTTATAGGGTTTTATGACCTTTTTCAGACCTCACCCTGCACAATATTCAGAGGCATTCTAATCATGTTGAGCTAAGTTTCTTTTAAAAACTTATTCCTATTAATTTATCCAGGGTAAAAGTGAAGAACAGTTCCCAAAAGATACTGTCCACCAACTGGCGACCAACAGTTGGCCAACAGTTGGCAGACAGACTTTCCCAAATTGGTTCAATCTCATTTATCCACCATATTGAAAAGTTTTTCCAGTTCCCAATCTCCTAAATGCACTGCCTCTGAAACCCTTTTAAGAAAATCTTTATTTGGTTAGAACTATTTGACCTGTTGGTTCATTCACTTGCAAAATGTAGAAAAGGAGCAGTTTAGTGTACAAACAAGGATATAGGAAATAGTTATTTTGGTACTTACAGTCAGGAGATGGGTTAAACAAGCTTATTTTACCATTTAAACAGAATCAAGTAGATAGGTACGAACAATGCAATCAATATGTTCCTATTTACTGTTTCAACTGGAAAAGTTTTGACTCTGTTTTCAGTCCATTTTTAGTCTACTTAACACTGTCAGCCAACTGTCGGTAATGTGTCAGTAACCTGTTGGCCAACAGTAGAGTGACAGGTTACTGACAGCCGAAAATGGGAACCACTGTTCACTATTACCTTTATCCAATCCCAAGTTTGAACACATAGTTACCTTAAAGGATTGTTTATTGTCAGGAAATTTCCAGTGTAAACTACACTACTGTTGTATTTTTTTTAGCTTTTCTATCCATTCAAGCCAAGATTTTAGTCATTACCTGTACACTTACATGTTAATTTTGTGTAGATTTTTTCCAGATGAACATTGTACTCTGCTTGACCTTGAGTAGGATTTAAGCTTAGGTTGTGCAATTTTTAGTCAGCAAAATGTGTTTATTCTCACCATGAAGACCTGTAAACAGTTGCATAAATGCACATTTGTATTAGTGGACTGGTAGCATAGATGTGATCATACTTAAGTTCACCATTTTTTCTCTCTGATTTGTGTCATTTTTTTTCAATTGTGGACCTCTAGGAATCATGTACCAAACATCATTGTGTTGATTTTTATCATCATGACTGTAGCTTTAACCAGTGTGACTGTAGCTTTAACCAGTGTACACCACTCCTCTCTTTTCTGTCACTCACAGTACATGTACACACACAGTACAAGTACACACACAGGCGTTTAATCTGTTAGTGTGAGCTGAAAGAACTTGTGCCTTTTTTGGTAGGTTTGTGGGATAGTTTCCTTGAGATGCGTATTCGACTACAGAAAGCTCTTTTGATTGCCAACAGACTTCCACAGCATGACCAGCATGCATCCTTAAATTTCTCTGGAGACAAGAACCTAAAAGAAACCTATAAAGAAGGTAAACAAATACTTTTCTGTTCTCTTGTACTATCCTACTGTACATGTAGTACCCTGATCCCTTGTGCCGTCACCGCTGTGTCTGTGGGATACTAGAATAGGGTAATTTGGTATCATCAACTGAGTTGATAACATAAATTGGCCACAGTGAAGAGTTTCAAAGCTGACATTTTGATCCTTTCATCAGAGCAAATGGAGGAAATGTGGGTTGTGTGAGTATTTTTATGCAGAAGGTGGAGCTATGCTATTGTTGGGAACATGGTGACAAGAAATCAAGAATAAATTAGTTGAATGAAAAGTGTTTGTTGATACCGTGCAGATTAAGATTGCCGATTTGAAAGATACCAGTAAATTTTGTTTTAGAGTTTGCGGCTTTCCAAACTGCCTTGACGTAGAGAAAGGCCGCAATCTGCCATATGCTGCTTAGAATGATTAGGGAGATTATGGAGTCTAGCAACTGGTCTGGATGCATCCTTGTCATTTCTTTCTGCATGGCAAAGGAGTTCTTGGAATTGGTCAGGAGGATTACTAATGAACTTTTGAGTGTCGAGAGGTTAACCTACCAAAGCATACTTAATATCATCATTCTGCAGTTGGTACATTTTCAGGCAATGCACTTGTTGTTATAGTAATCAGTACACTACAGGAGCCATACAATAACCTACTTGATATGTTCTTTTATTTACAGGGAGAAAATCAGTGGCAAAACTTCTTGGAAATCTCCTGTGGATACAGGAAAAGCTACTGGACCAAAATCCAGACACAAAGGACATTTTATACTCAGGAAAGGAGTCAAGCAAAAGCGCTGGTCAAAGCAGTGATGAGGATGAGGAAATACCCAGTGATACAGAAGATGAGAAGAGTGATAATGATGATGAGAAGAGTGATAATGATGATGAGAAGAGTAATAATGAAGATGATGAGGATGATAATGCTGGCAACAAAGATCAAGTAAATGGTAAACAAACAGAAGGAAGCCTGAAGCTTCCAACAAAAAGGAAACATGAGTTGGTAAGGTCATTATTTTGAAAGCATGTTTACTGCACCACCTGCACATGCATCAACCACAAAGTTGTGCATCATTATTTTTAGCTCCCCCTAGCAAAACTTCAATGAAAACCTTGTACACCGTCATACACTCCCTCCCAGCCTAATGCTTATGAATATGGAAAATAAAACCTGCAGAGATGAACAGAAAAATGCAAAGCAAAGTAATGCTTATACTGTTGTCTGCTCATTACTGTATACAACACATGTCACTGTTGTGTTGCATTGTAGTGTACATATATACGAAGAAAGAAATTTCAGCTTTTATGTCACTATCCTACATGTATATTAAGGAATTTCTCTGAATTTCAGATTATGAGGAGAATTTTCAAATTAAGTCTTAAAAAGTTTTTCCTCTCTGAGATTTCAATTTCAGTGTTGGAAAGTAATTTTGGATACATTGAGAGCATGATTTACATGTACATATATGTATAAATGCCTTGTAGTGTGAAACAATTTCAGGTTAACATGATTTCATGCTGTTTGATTTCTGCATATAATTTTCTTAGCATAATGAGTACAATCATATGCAATGTTCTGGGAATCATGGGAAAAACAAACTACAGTCTGTTACTCATTTTTACTTGAATTTTTCTTTCTCAATAAACATTGATCTGGGAGTTTAAGTGTTATGATTTAGATGTAGGTGCCTAATTTGTTTTCTTTACTTTCCCAGTCAACATCAGAATATGCAGAATGTATTTGTAAGCGGCATGCCGCCCTTAAGGATTTCAGAGACTCTACAATATCAAAATGGAGTGAGAAAACTCGACTGGCTTCTGGAAAAATTAACAGCAAGGTACGTGTTACCATATTTTCATCACAGTTACAATAATTTATTTATTATTTACACATATGTTAACATTATGGTTGAGTCTGAGGAAAGAGTATTTTATGAGAGAGAGTGGGTTTTTTTTTTTTTTTTTTTTTTAATATTTTATAACCCATTTACAGAATTGGTTAAGTATCAGTCAATGAAATAAGTGTGTTCAATTTTCATCTATGATATCACTTATCTCTGCTGTTTAATTGTAGATTTTGTAACTAACTTTATTTATGTTACCTTTCTCAGACTTTTGGTTCTTTTGACCGCTCTGCACTGGCGCAGATAAATCATGTGAGTTATTTTTGAAACTTAAGATACTGTACATCTTTTTTTATTATTACTTAATATATAATTATTATGTCATTAGAGTCTTAGAATGAGAATAATTTTCTTCTCTAACAATTATGATCAAATTAGCCCAGCTCTTTAAAAATAAACTAATACAGTTGCCTTTTTTGTTCTTGATTTTAGATTTTATCTGATAAAGGTCGTCTCATAAAACGCACTCAACTGAAAAGGACCTCATATAGAGTCTTAGGAAAGTCTGAAAAAGATGAAGGCCAAGATATGGACTCAAACAAGGTTTGTTAGTCATAAAAACTGCAGTCTGTTTTTATCAGTACCTGAGCATGAATCCATTAATCTTAGGAAAGTTTATGGAAAACAAAAATGCTGATGTATTTTTTTTTATGTGTGATACTGATTGCAGGAACAGTCCGACTTGCATTTAAAAGACTACGATGAGGAGATATTTGATGATGATGATTTTTACCATCAGGTAACTAAAACTTCCCTTGTATAGAGTGTATCTAGAAGTTTTTTGCAAGAATCCTTCTGTCACAATCTCTCACAATTTTTATAGCCATCTCTGTCCCTTCGGTTTTCGATGCAGGGAAACTGATTATCCACAGTAACTCAACCAATGATAGAAACCCTTCTCCTTACAAACTTGAATAGTTATGTCTTTTTTTTCTTATTATTTCTTGTAATTTTTACTATTTGTTTGCAGGGCTGTTTTGTAGTAACACCTTTTATTCCTTTTTTAATTAACAGCTTTTGAGGGAATTTATAGAACAGCGAACCAGTGGAAACACTAATAATCCTATTGAGATGGGAAGGTAAATATACCTTACGGTGAATTATTATCTGCCACATTTTTTCCCAAGTTGCCACCTTAAGTGATATTGATCTCCATTTCCACACACGCCCCATACCAGTTATTTATTTATTTGTTTATTTTTTTTTTAATTTGCCTCCCCCCCCTCCCCCCACAAAAAAGGACAAAACCACGGTGTAATTTCTTGCTGGAAACCACATGCGATCTTTCTTTTCCTTTGGAACAGAATTAAATTTTTCAAGCGTGAGTCAAAACCTTTGACAAGGAGTTTAAAGATGGTCACCTGCTGTTGCTCATTCACGATATTGTAGTCTCCTTCTTGTAAGCTAAATTTCCAGTCGCATTGGCCACTAGCCAAACGTATTTTATTATTCTGTATATTCGACCTGTTCTCGGGTCTGACACAGTGATTGCAGACTTCGCTTCCAACAAAAATATTCTTAGTGTGAATGATAATGTTCTTTGTTTTCAGACAATGGCTAGCACTTCAAAAACTACGAAGAAAAGTGAAAAAGAAAGTTGATACGAAGGCCAGTAAAGGCAGAAAAATTCGGTGAGTCTTAACTCTAGAGCCGCGAGAAATAATAAGCATCTAGTTTCTCGTCATAGTATCACCCCTGAATCAACCAGTAAAGTTATGAGAATTAGGAAAATGATCGCCAACTAAAGATGCTCTCGATTGCTAAACACATTTTCCTGGTCAGTTTCATTAGAAATGTTTACTTATTTTTTTTTTAATGTTAACCTACTTCTGAAGCAGTCTATAAGCGGAAAAAATTAAAGGAAAGAGTCACTGATACAGACCATTTTTCAGTTCAGTTTCTCGTCTATATTACGTTATGTGATTGGTTGTTCAAACTCGGCCAACGTGTCAACCAGTCCGATGCAAACTAATCGCGCACCTGCGTTTTCCCGCGCTTCGAGGACCTGGCTCGTTTTTACTTCAAATTCTCATTGGTTCCTTTAGATATTTCCCTTTATTCTGATTGGCCCTTGGCCCCTCGTTTAGCCTTTTGACATTGAGTCGAAAAGCGTGCTAACTGCGTGTTGTTCCCTACACTTTTCGACTGGATATGTGATCTAATAATGGACTTAACACTTTACACCCTAACATCAGTATGCATATTCTCCATACTGTTCTCTATACATTTTCTGTGATGCCGACATGGAGAATTTGTCAAACAATCAAGAGCTTCTTTAGTCGGTGATCAGCTACTTTATTCTCCTGACCTTCATGTTTGATTCAGGGGTGACATGGTAAGGAGAAATTAGATGCCAGTCACTCTTAGGAGTTAAAGGGTTAACCATATTCTTCCCTGTTACACTCAGATATGATGTTCACGGAAAACTTGTGAGCTTCATGGCTCCCATTGAGAAGGGAACTATGGCGGACTCTTCAAGGTTTGTAAATGGATGAAATATTTATTTGTTTTACTTGTTTATTTGCTGGATTGTTTGTATCTCTTTTCTCATGCTATTTTTCTGGCTACAGTTTCCTTCTCCTACTCATTTATGAACCTCTCTGTTTATTTTACAAGCTATCGTGCTTCTTTTCCTTTCCCTCAACAGGAATGAATTATTTTGTTCCCTGTTTGATGCAAAACAACAGGAAGAGCCCGCTGATATCAACATTTTCAGATGAAGTTTCTGTGCCATTTCGATTAGTTACGTTAGTGAAACGATCGAGATATTCGCGAGACGTTCTAAATGAAAAGAATGAATTAAATTTTTACAAGACACGTACCATATATGATCTCATGTGAATTTCTTTCCAATTATCACAATGTATAAATGCCGGAATAACATTCTACTTAACAAATAGATTCCAAGTTGTCGTGCGTCTGTTCAGTAATAGGTCACAGAGGACGTCAAAATATGGTAAGAACAAAAAAGTGGCACACTCGGCTGCGCCTCGTGCGCCACTTTTTTGTTCTTACCACATTTTGACGTCATCTGTGATCTATTACTGAACAGACGCACGGCAACTTGGAATCTATTTGTTTTATATAATAAAGAATTGAAATATACGGAAAAAAAGTTTTAATGATGATGTCATCTATAAGTCTGTCCTCCAAGTGAGAACCAATCTGAATGCGTGCATAACTGAGCTTATTATATAATAAACCGTATTTCAAGAATTTTTAAAAGACTGCCTGTTGATCATGAATCAGTTCAGCCTTCCAAAATTGAACAGGTGTTTATTTAAAAAAAAACTAGGTATCACAATTGTCGAATAAAGGAGTGGGTGCTTCCGCTCTGTCGCAAGCACATGCGTTAGTCCCATCTTCCCTCTTGTAAAGAATTACCATTCACTCATTTAAGGAAATATAAAAAACATTTTGTGCGTCATGATATGCAAAATTTTCTGCGAAATGTAACCCACAATTATGGCTGGTTTCATTAAGTAAATGTTAATGCTTGTTAATTAAGTCTCTCAATAATCTGTGCAAGGCATTATTTGCGGGGAAAAAAAAACATTAAGAACAAGGTCAGGCTGATTACTCACTAAAGCACATGATATACCAGAAACAAGACCCGAAAATTATGCTCTCTTTTAAGTGGTTGCTTATTGAGTATGATGATGCAAATGAACACATGGCTGTTTGAAATAAATTGGAAAATTTTCCAGCTTGGGGCATGACTATTGACAAAAGTAATGGTAAACAATGCTGACAACTTACTTGAAATAGCTTATTAAATTTTACAGGTCTGTCTACTTGTGTTGCGATATAGCACGCAAATATTTGTTCCTATGTCGTTTTTGATGACCGAAGATCTCCGTTTCTATGTATAATTAGAAATAGCGATTATTTTGGCAAATGGCAAAGGGGAACAATTGAATTTTTTAATATCTGCCTTCAGCCGTTTTTTACGCGTAGTTAAAATATATTTGCGCTAATCGCGGTGTAGCGAGATTTTTCGCTGTTTTATTCGGGCTTGGTACAAGCTAAACTAGATTTTAAAAAGGTAAATTCAGAATTCCTTTTTCCCGTACGTAATTTTAGTAAACATAAACCGTTATATTTAATTCTACAAATATTACAACGTTTCCCATCAAAATCTTACAAAAAAAATGGTTAATTAGACACTACAATATATTTTTTCGAAGACAGTTCTAATATTCGAGTCGAAATGGCGGCTTGTAATAGGTGAATCTGGACGTCTCGGCGACTTACGCCGGAATTACATATTCGAGGACTTAATTAAGCCTTCACAAAGTCATTATTGTTTCAGTAGTCTCCTCGTAATATTCTAGATCATATTAATTAAAGTCGTAATGAGTAAAAAGCTAAGTGAAAGCAAATATCTGTTTATTTCCAATATTGTTATTTTCCATTCCAAAAAATGTAACGAGTGTAAATGGCGTGGCACGCAATATTTTTTAAGGCATTTGAAAAATTTTGTTGTGGTAAGAGGCTTACTTTGTTAGGTCACAGAATCAGTCGCCTGAACGTGAAAAATTAGAATCGTTCGTATCAATTCATAAAAAAACTGACACAAAATAGATATCTGCCGGCGCTAAGATACTAAGTGATATCACAAACACTGAGAGATAGAGAGACACTGAGAGATAGAGAGCGGAAGGAGAGATAGAGAGCGGAAGAAAAGATATCATCACTGCGGATAAAAGGTCGAAAACATGACTTTAATTATCTCAGTTTTCTAGATTGCTTAAGACTTCAGTTTTCTCGGCCAGGTTTGGATATTACCATATTGCCTTCAAAAACGTAACGTGTCAATATCTCCAGTGTATGTTTATTTAATTTTATGGACAATGCTCCTGTGGGCGGCTGTAGACAAGCTATATAAACATACAACTTATGACTGCTAAGTGCAAGAGTCGTTAAAGTGCTGTGAACCATAAAACGTGACGAGTGATGAATTATGCGCTATTGCAGAAGAGCTAAAAACCCATCATTTTATAAAGCACAGTGTTCTTTTTAAGATTTGTAAGAACTGACTCGCTGAAAAGACTTCCTTTGATTATGCAGAAAAAAATAGTGTCGCTTTGATCTGAATTGAAGGTGCATTGTTATGTTTATGAGCAGTATCTTTTTCTGAGAACGTGACATGAAGAATAACAGGTGAGCCATGAAATCGCATTATAATCTGCTCGCTGCGATCGGTCACAGGAACAGGTATAGACCATGATGTACACCGTTACCTAACCTTGGCATAATTTATCGCTTGGGTAATTTTCCGTTTGGATGTTGTGTTGACGACGCAATTGGTGTGATAACCACCATATAAGAATCCGAGATATTAGTATCTAGAAGCTATCGAAGGAAGCGCTGCTCTGGGAAAATAAACATCGCTCAGAGATTAGTTATGTTTTATGCCTAAACACAATGAGCAGTGTGGAAAATCTTGTGATGGAATCGATGCAAATACGGTACACACGTTCTACGCGAACTTGGAGGATTGTTGCAGTGGTGGCGTGTATTATTGCGATTGTCATGACGGCTTTGTTCCTTTGGCAGGTTTTAAAAAATGATGAAGAATGTGCAAAGTGTGGAAATGGTTATGACAGAGCTCCCCCGAAGAAGAGCGAACCGGATACGTATGGCTCACCTTGCCCTAAAACACCAGGAAAGCTAATGGCCTTATCTGAGAAACTACCGGAACAGCTCTCTACGGGGTTGAAGAAGATCGCTGATTATATAAGCTCTCGTGTTAACAAGACAGTAAACCTTCCTGCAATATCGGCTAATATCTTCTATCAAGATCGTACTCTGTTGAGTCTTCATAAAGGAACTAAGGTCACAACACGCGAAGACATACCCGACGATCAAACCATTTACCGAATTGGTAGCGTCACGAAAGTATTCGTAGTGCTTATGGTGTACAAGTTTTACGAGGAAGGCCTGATAGATTCCCTCGACGATCCGTTGAGCAAATACGCTCCAGGATTTTACATTCAAAACCCTTTTACTGGAGAAAACGTGACGATAAGACAGATAGCAAGTCAAATGTCGGGGCTACCTCGAGAGGCGCCATGTTTCTTTATTTGCCGTAATGATACTTCGGAAGAGCAGTTACAACTTCTTAAGAACCGCAGTCTCATACTGCCTCCAGGATCCATGCCGTCTTACAGTAACCTTGGATACGCCTTGCTCGGGAGATTGCTGTCTGAGAATCTCCTACAGAATCAAACGTTTGAGACTTGGGTGAAAGAAAACATTCTGAAACCTTTAAATATGACACGCACAGGATTTGAAATCACAGCGGACGTGCAGCAAAACATGGCATTTCCGTATTCGCCAAACGGAGAAATAATGCATTTCATGAATATTTATTGGGTTGCACCTGCTGGCCAAATGTATTCAACGCTCGAGGACATGACGAAGCTCGGAATGACACTTGCACAACCGTCAAAACAAACCCTATTCCGGCCGGCGTCGCTCTGGGATATGATGTCCGCTGCGGATATCGCCCCGGATGGGACCACCATTTGGGGGGCTCCATGGGAGATGGAACTCCAGGAACATTTTATAGTTCGGCAAAAGGGTGGAGTCATTGACTCTTACGAAGCATACCTCTCGGTCGTTCCTGAGTTACAGCTGGGGGTAAATCTGTTCATAAGCACATTTCATTTCGTCAAAGGAGGGCCATCTATATCTAATAGAATGATTCACGACATCTATAAAATTCTTCTTCCAGTCATGAACCAAACTCTGGTTGATCTGGAGGGTTCGTCCAAATTTCCAGTGGATCCGAAGCCGTACATCGGAAACTATTCCGTAAACATTTCAGATGTGCTTTCACATGAGGTGACCACATACTCGGTGGAGATTACAGTTCAAGATGACGTCCTTCAAGTACGCTTTATCAATCCTCCATATCAGAACTTCCACATTGTATACATTGGAAATAAATTGGTTTTCCAAGCAGAATTTAAATGGCCTTCTTCTTCGTGTTTTTCTGAAAGGATGGGTAGTTATGACGACTTACACTTTTTATCTTTCGAGGAGAATGGCGTTTCGCCCGGTTTCAAAGTCCCTGGGAAAGCGATGATAGCAACTCGCGTTTCATAATGCCGTCGCGAAGAGACAGCTTATCATCAAGGAAAAATTTGGATTTTTTTTTAAGTTCGTCATTTTAATCTGCTGTTATCCTCTCCTTTCCAGAGTCATTTTTGTCTCTGCTTGTTATATTAGAACCCTTATTGCTGATGTAATATATTGTGGTCTCCTTCGAGTGGGGGATTTTTCAAGGCGCAAATATCTGTAGTGCCTTATTACTTTAACGATAAAAGTCTACCGTAGTTCATGCGCGTAACAGCATTTTATCAGTAATACTATCATTATTATTAATATTGTTATTATTATCATTTAATAATTTTCGATCGCTGAACATGATCATATTAAGAGCTTAAATGTGGAAATTTGTAAACTGTATTCACGATAGTCAACGACACAGTTGTGTCAGTATGCGCAAAACTTCCTTTGTTTACATCATTGCATTATACTTCAATTCTTGAATGTTCTCTCCACTTAACCGTGAAGGCGCGAAGATTGAGAACTCATTAAAGGACTGTAAATACATGGAAAAACTGTTGATTTATCATTGACATTATCGAGCAGTTGTGCAATAGTTCTCCTGAGAATATTCAATACTTGACCCTTAGTGAGAGGGAAAAAAAAAAAAGCGGGAGAGAAAAAGAAAAAAAAGTCTCGTTATCTGCAACGTGCGATGGATTTTCTTACAAATAACTATCATGGCAAAAGCATCCTCCAAGCTTCACATATCAGCTTCTTGATTATAGTGAAGTTAGGGCCTGTTTACATGGAGGTGGGGGACCCCAGGTAGGTGAGGTAACCCGCCTGTCCATATAATTTCTTATTTTATTTTGATTACATTTACATGATAGGTGCCAGGTAGGGTAACCCTGTCAGCCGGGGTGACAATTTGCCATGGAAACGTCTCAAGGTGGGGTAACCCGCCTAGCCGGGGTCGCGTTCATGGCAAAAAGCTCAAAAGCGAAACATGTATGTTTTAAAACTTAAATTTCCTAGCTGTCTCATGGCAGAAATCACCAGACACCGCAACGGACACACAAGGAGTGCAAAATATTCACATTTCGGAATATTTAGCGTTGTAAATCGACCATATTTGGTTTCCCAAACTATTCCGTATAACGTATTAAGTCAACGGTTTCTCGCGAAACCAAACACCGCGTAACACAACGCGTGACGCTTTCATAAATAAATACATATGTGTCCGAGAATTTATCTTTCGTCTTTTTCGAGATGTGAGCTTGGGACGCCTCTGCTCAAACTCCTTAATTGCAAGCGCAACAACAACCTCAAGAAACCTCACCCCAGCACCCCGGGGTTGTAAGATTTCATGTAAACGCGTTTTATTTTTCGACCACGGCTAAGCGGGTTACCTCGCCTACCTGGGGTCCCCCACCTCCATGTAAACAGGCCCTTAATCTGCTCTACCATCTCAGATGACTGACTCCATTTCCCCCATGACCTTCGTGGGGTCGCAAATAATTTGGCACATCAGGAAAAGTAGTGATATTTTTAGCAGAAATTTCCTATGTCTGAGGCCACGTCGTGTGAAATGTTTTCTCAGTTGAAACATTTTCCCGGCATTGATTTGTTCAGAACTTCTTAAGCCTTGAATTGGATTTCACATTCTGGGCCTTCAAACTTCGCAGTGGATTTGATTTTTAGTTTTGACCTCTGCCTTTCAAGCAAATCTTAGATCGAATATACCCTGTTTTCATGTCACAAACTGTTTGTCAATATTATATATTTGAAACTGTTCGTCAATTCTAAGAGCCTTGTTAACTTGAAACATATTAAGGAGTTTGTGATTGGTAATTGTCGTGACGAAAGCGTTACGAATTTGTGACAACTTCCGTCACAAAATACACGTCACGGCCGTAGGACTTCTATTTCCTCGCTCAAACTGGCTGGATGCAGCTCTCTTAAATAGCGACTGATTATATTCAGAACGCTCAAAAACCAATTTTCTCGCTTTTCTGTCAGACGATTTTCATGTAATTGGCATGGGATACAAATCTGTATTGATATGCAAATGTTACAGAGGGATGCCATTAAAATCTACCTGGGAACAGTCTCGGAAAATTCTAAATTTTTTAAGGGTTGGGGGAAGTTGCGTGACCTCGCTGTCAAAAATATACAATTTTGGGCAGGGCTGCGAATGGAATCAGGAATTGGGAATCGGAGAAGAGGAATTTAAAATGAAAAACAATCTTTTACAATCTCATAAGTTTTCGTTATAATGGTAACGATATGATAATACATGATAATTCTGATAAAGATAATAGCTTAATATACAATAATTCTTTATGATTATGTCCTATTGATCGTATGAGTAGCCGTCAAAAAAGGAGTATTTTTTCATTTCTTCGTAAACGCGGTTCTTTTGTTCAGTGGTCCACTCTATTAAGTCACGTGTCATTGATGGGACTGGATCTACAGTGGCTGCGCAGTCCTGTATATAACGCTCTGAGCAAGAGATGCTCAGGAATTTGCAGATTTTTCTCAGAGTGTCGGCAGGGTTATTGACAATTTCTAGACTTGGAATGTCGATAACACTGCCTGGAAACGCTTGCCTGGCCTTGTTACAACCTGCTGCCCAGCCGAAATAACGACTTATACTCTCGTCTAATATATAAGAAGCTTTAACCTGTGGATAACAGATAGAGATACAGCGTGTAAACCATCAGTTCATGGTTATAATAGGGTTATAGCTACTTAAGGACCGTTTCCCATGTTTATTACATCCATTTGAAGACCACTGTTGATTCTTGAGATCTGATTGGCTCTCGCCGGTGCGATTTATTTGTAAATCATATTACTCTAATGCTATCTCGTCTTTTTCCCAGCCAATGAGAAAGCAACACTTAATCAAAACAACCAATTAGATTTCGAGGCTTGTTTAAGTAACCAATCAAATCACAGGAAAATGCAAAACCAAGAAGTCATTACGTGGCAAATTTAGCAACTTTTGTCCCAAATACTCTTTTTTCACATAACGAGCTCATTATTTTTATCACGTGGGCAGGGGCGAGAGCGGTAGAAGTTTTCATGGGGAACGGAGATGGGGATTTGTCGTCTCTGACAGAGTATAAAGAGGAAGGGAAGGGGGAACATGAAAAACTGACTGCCAGGGAGGGTGGGGGAGATCGTCAGAATGCTATATCCCGGAAAATTTAATCGGGATACAGCGAAAAATAGTGGCCGACCCCTGAAGCTTCGTATCTTGACATATCGCGTTTAGTTACGCAATACATCGCACATACCTTCGTTTCGTGTTTTCCCACTTCCCTTTTTTTGACTCTAGCATCTTGCAGAACCATGGTTGCAATATTGTCGAATGGATTTCGCACAACATGAACAAACTTCACCTTTGCGCCGGCGGCTTTCTCTAGGAGTCGAACTGCATCAACGGCTTTGTCTTTTCTCATTGCTCCCGCTGTAAGGGCACCTGACTTGTCTCCGATCACCTGAATCAAAATTTTAGGGATGGTTCGTAATACGATTACTGTCAGGGCAATTACAGACTGAACTATTTTTCTCTATCGGTATATCAAATTATGCTGTTGAAACAAACCGAGGGGCCAGTCCCTAACAACTTGTGGTCAACAGTAAATTTGGTTTCGCTTAACTACACCCAACCATTGGTTGAAAAAAGCCTTACAAAAAAAGACCCCCTGTATGTCTCCGATACGGGGCAGATGTACTAACCATTAAGTTACCGTCTTGCGCATTCAATTTCTTAAAACGAACCAACAAACAAATGAACAGAAAAACAAAAATTCCATTTATCTGACCTTGATATACTGATCATACTGGCCCTGCCATTGATTTGGTACATAGTACGAATATGGAGAAGTCACATTCACTACTCTTCCTTCAAATACACGCGAGCGTCTACCGTGGGCAACTGCGCTCTGCGAAGCTCCAAATAACGTATCATAAAAAGCGTATATCGAACCATTTAGCCACGTTTGGAGACCTCCTATCCATCTTGAAAAAGCCATTGCCTCATCGGAAACCACCATGTGTGGATGCGCATCTAATAAGGAGCCAAGAAGACTGTGACGACTACGCAGATATCCAATAAAAAACAAGATACTGTGTACGTGACCATAAGCTTTGTACAAGTCGTTCTGTGAATCTGTGCCATCTGAGAAAGACCGATGAACAAAAAAAACGTCAACAAAAGAGCAAAAAGCTGGGTTTGATACTTAAGGTTGCGAAGGACACCACATTGAACGAAAATTACATCAAATCTCACAGCAATACATTATTTCTAAGGGTTCAAAGACATGATCAGATAATACTTTACGAAGCGCGAAGCGATGGAAACATCTCTCATCGGTAGAGTAAGGTTAAGTTGTTGGTGGTTGAACATTTGTCAAGACCGTGGAACATTCTGTACAATAATGAAGGTTTTCATAGCTTGTGCTGGCATAAAGTGTAACATAATTTGAGAAAACAAGCATAGTTTTTCCTATTTGTAAAAAAGTAGCACTACTATATCATCCAAAATTTAAGTATATGTACCATCATCTATGGTTGTTGTTTCGTTTTCTCTTGGTCCAGTGCGAAGTATTTCCTTTGGTTCGCTGTTTTCAGCTTGTGTCAGCAACGGTGCAGAATCAACCCCGCCATCTCCTCCTTGATTTGAATGGAAGACAAAAATATAGACAAGGTGAAGAGAAAACCTCTTCTGTTGAAAGATGTGGTCATGATCCTAATAAAAGTGTCGTGTGGTAGGACGATCCGTCAAGATCAAAATGTCACCGCAAATTTTACTCTGGGAGGGTGAAATACTCAACCAGAAAGTGAATTTTAAATAAGTAAGCATACAGCTCAGTGTAATTCAAGACCAGACTGTTAAAAATGAAATACAGAAAAACAAATGGATGAAAGCTTAATGAAAAATTGATAGAGCTCCAGACGTTCTTCTTCTTTTGAGTGACTAAATACCATGTTACCCGAGAATATTTACGTCTGCAAGCAAAACATTTACCTCGACTAATATTTGTGATATTTGCTAAATTTTTCTGTTTCTTTGAGTTATGTTGTTTGTTTTTTTGTTTGTTCAATGCGAACGTTATGATACATCCGGCAAACAAATAACTCACCGTAATCCTCGATAATCAGCTTTTCTTTGATGTAGAAAGCATCATCTCTCCATGTCACAAAAAGCACAGCGAGTCCAAAGCCAAAAAATAAACCAAAAATCACTCCTCTAAATCTGGTTAACAGCCTTCGGATCATTATACTGCCTCAGTCTCTAATTTCTGTGACCGAAAAACAATGCATTACACTGTAAATTATGCCAATCAAAAAATCCTTGCTCGAAAAAACCCCAATCCCCGACGAAGGGCTAACCCTCGAACCGTCAGCTTTCGAAACTCTTTACGGTGGCCAATCGACATGATCAACTCAGCTGATAAAACCACCCCCCACTGACGCAGCACCATAGTTTCCTTAGAAACTAACCCCTTTTATCCAGATGATACATATGGGTATATACTAAAATAGTAGATAGCGTAGAAGGCGTATGGGCGGCCGTCACCACCAGAAATTCGAGAATGTCAAATAGATCAGCAAATACAAAGCTGGTCTAAGGATCAGCGACTACACCATCACATAGTGTAGTTGCTGTGTTGATGGTGAGAAAACTGACATCCTCGATCTGTTTTGACATTTTTCAATCAAAGTGATTATCGAAATGATTCAATTGCAAACACTATTTTTGGCACACCAATTAATGCATTTCGATATCACTTTGATTGAAAAATGTCAAAACTGATATTCTGATCTGTTTTGAAAAGATGATTTAACAATATATATCTATCGTCGATCACATTCTTCCAGGAAAAAAACTTTTTTTCCTTTTTCCATATGATTATTCATGCACTTAAGATACAAGATTTTCCAAGGACTGAACCGTATATGATGAGATTGGATTTGCAAAATGATGCATTTTAAGCAAACCTGTTAAATTGTTATGGAAACTTATTAAAACACAATTGAGAGAGTCAACTTCCTGAGCGATTTATACTGCTGGGATAATCCTTTTCACTGAAAATACCCGTCAAATGAATTTTCTAAAAATTATCATCGCCAGTCCAGAATGTCGTGTTATTTCTATGATTGTTTTTACCGCACTTCCTATTACTTAACATCGCGTATAAATAAATAAATGTATAAATAAATTAAATCATGCCTAGCTGTAGTTTTGGCTAACTTAATTTCTACTATTGTGATGATGTCTTTCTAATTTCGTGCAACAGTAGGAGCTCATGTACACAACGTCATCTACCAATTTTTCCACCAATTCATAAAAGTAATAAGCCATAAAGTTTACCGAATTTTATCAGAAGCTAGTTCGTGTCGCTTAGCAAAAATTCCACGTTAATAATCAGTATATCAGCGGCGAGAATGAACCGGTCCTCTTTCTGTTTCCATTTTGAGTTTTAAAGCGCCGGAAATTTTAAATGTTACTCTACATAAATTCAAAATTGATATGTTCTCTCAAAATATTTCTTCATTCGATACACCATTGAAATATTAAGCTTGATAAGTTTTTCGGGCACAGTTGCGTGAATCGATACGAAATCGCGCCTTACTGTTGATCATACGAGTTCCCCATCGTTTAGTTTGTATCAGTGTTTTCATTTTCTCTCAAACCATTAGAGCTCCTGTAAATGACTAGAGTAAATAATGGACTGGACCATTGGACCCTTGGACTATATTTCGAGCTATTTTTTGGACCATTTTCTTGGACCTTTTTTTGGATAAATTTTTGGACCATTTTATCGGGGGGGAGGCAGACCATTAGTGCTTGGGGCAGGGAAGGACCGGAAATTCCGTGATCTTTGTCGTTTGATAAGATCAATGACGTAAAGAAGATAACTAAATTCAGGAGTCCAGTAATGGGCTCCTGCTAAATTTCATGATCTACTGTTTACACAAAGGGAAACGTTAAGCAGCTGATGGATGATTCGTGATAACCCGTGAGTATCATTTAGCACTGGCACAAGTCGACTTAAAAGACACACGCATGACTCAACAGCAGAGGATCACAAACAGGAATTTGTGACTGTTTTCAATAACAATTATAGTCCAGTGTTTAGGTGCCAGTTTCGTATTCGCCTGACAAAAAAATAAAGAAGCGCTGAGGCCCAGCGCAAAAATTTGACATAAAATAATCAGTCGACCGCTCATAATAATTTGTATGATCCAGTGAAAACTCCATTAATCAGCAGCATTTACTAACACAACAAACGCCCAAAACTACCTGCGTTCTATTAGTCCGTCCTAGACCCCTCCCTCAGTAACAACAGTCTGCCTCCCACCCCTCCCTAAGCACTAATGGTCGGGCCCCCCCCCCCCGATAAAATGGTCCAAAAGAAAAAAAGGCCCAAAACAGGATCTAAAAAAATGGTCCCAAAAAATAGTCCAGTGGTTCAAGGGTCCAATGGTCCAGTCTACATTTAACCCTATTCTCTTGTAAACAGTCATCCATGTTTTTAATTCTCTACCAAATTACAAAAGTATGTCTCTTGGTCGAGAGTCGCGGTAAAAGTTAGAGGGTTTTCACTCTCGTTGAAAAAAAAAAAAGTCTCGTTATCTGCAACGTGCGATGGATTTTCTTACAAATAACTATCATGGCAAAAGCATCCTCTAAGCTTCACATATCAGCTTCTTGATTATAGTGAAGTTAGGGCCTGTTTACATGGAGGTAGGGGACCCCAGGTAGGTGAGGTAACCCGCCTGTCCATATAATTTCTTATTTTATTTTGATCACATTTACATGATAGGTGCCAGGTAGGGTAACCCTGTCAGCCGGGGTGACAATTTGCCATGGAAACGTCTCAAGGTGGGGTAACCCGCCTAGCCGGGGTCGCGTTCATGGCAAAAAGCTCAAAAGCGAAACATGTATGTTTTAAAACTTTGTACATTTCCTAGCCGTCTCATGGCAGAAATCACCAGAAACCGCAACGGACACACAAGGAGTGCAAAATGTTCACATTTCGGAATATTTAGCGTTGTAAATCGACCATATTTGGTTTCCCAAACTATTCCGTATAACGTATTAAGTCAACGGTTTCTCGCGAAACCAAACACCGCGTAACACAACGCGTGACGCTTTCATAAATAAATACATATGTGTCCGAGAATTTATCTTTCGTCTTTTTCGAGATGTGAGCTTGGGACGCCTCTGCTCAAACTCCTTAATTGCAAGCGCAACAACAACCTCAAGAAACCTCACCCCAGCACCCCGGGGTTGTAAGATTTCATGTAAACGCGTTTTATTTTTCGACCACGGCTAAGCGGGTTACCTCGCCTACCTGGGGTCCCCCACCTCCATGTAAACAGGCCCTTAATCTGCTCTACCGTCTCAGATGACTGACTCCATTTCCCCCATGACCTTCGTGGGGTCGCAAATAATTTGGCACATCAGGAGAGGTAGTGATATTTTTAGCAGAAATTTCCCATGTCTGAGGCCAAGTCGTGTGAAATGTTTTCTCAGTTGAAACATTTTCCCGGCATTGATTTGTTCAGAACTTCTTAAGCCTTGAATTGGATTTCACATTCTGGGCCTTCAAACTTCGCAGTGGATTTGATTTTTAGTTTTGACCTCTGCCTTTCAAGCAAATCTTAGATCGAATATACCCTGTTTTCATGTCACAAACTGTTTGTCAATATTATATATTTGAAACTGTTCGTCAATTCTAAGAGCCTTGTTAACTTGAAACATATTAAGGAGTTTGTGATTGGTAATTGTCGTGACGAAAGCGTTACGAATTTGTGACAACTTCCGTCACAAAATACACGTCACGGCCGTAGGACTTCTATTTCCTCGCTCAAACTGGCTGGATGCAGCTCTCTTAAATAGCGACTGATTATATTCAGAACGCTCAAAAACCAATTTTCTCGCTTTTCTGTCGGACGATTTTCATATAATTGGCATGGGATGCAAATCTGTATTGATATGCAAATGTTACAGAGGGATGCCATTAAAATCTACCTGGGAACAGTCTCGGAAAATTCCAATTTTTTTTAAGGGTTGGGGGAAGTTGCGTGACCTCGCTGTCAAAAATATACAATTTCGGACAGGGCTGCGAATGGAATCAGGAATTGGGAATCGGAGAAGAGGAATTTAAAATGAAAAACAATCTTTTACAATCTCATAAGTTTTCGTTATAATGGTAACGATATGATAATACATGATAATTCTGATAAAGATAATAGCTTAATATACAATAATTCTTTATGATTATGTCCTATTGATCGTATGAGTAGCCGTCAAAAAAGGAGTATTTTTTCATTTCTTCGTAAACGCGGTTCTTTTGTTCAGTGGTCCACTCTATTAAGTCACGTGTCATTGATGGGACTGGATCTACAGTGGCTGCGCAGTCCTGTATATAACGCTCTGAACAAGAGATGCTCAGGAATTTGCAGATTTTTCTCAGAGTGTCGGCAGGGTTCTTGACAATTTCTAGACTTGGAATGTCGATAACACTGCCTGGAAACGCTTGCCTGGCCTTGTTACAACCTGCTGCCCAGCCGAAATAACGACTTATACTCTCGTCCAATATATAAGAAGCTTTAACCTGTGGATAACAGATAGAGATACAGCGTGTAAACCATCAGTTCATGGTTATAATAGGGTTATAGCTACTTAAGGACCGTTTCCCATGTTTATTACATCCATTTGAAGACCACTGTTGATCCTTGAGATCTGATTGGCTCTCGCCGGTGCGATTTATTTGTAAATCATATTACTCTAATGCTATCTCGTCTTTTTCCCAGCCAATGAGAAAGCAACACTTAATCAAAACAACCAATTAGATTTCGAGGCTTGTTTAAGTAACCAATCAAATCACAGGAAAATGCAAAACCAAGAAGTCATTACGTGGCAAATTTAGCAACTTTTGTCCCAAATACTCTTTTTTCACATAACGAGCTCATTATATTTATCACGTGGGCAGGGGCGAGAGCGGTAGAAGTTTTCATGGGGAACGGAGATGGGGATTTGTCGTCTCTGACAGAGTATAAAGGGGGAGGGAAGGGGGAACATGGAAAACTGACTGCCAGGGAGGGTGGGGGAGATCGTCAGAATGCTATATCCCGGAAAATTTAATCGGGATACAGCGAAAAATAGTGGCCGACCCCTGAAGCTTCGTATCTTGACATATCGCGTTTAGTTATGAAATACATCGCACATACCTTCGTTTCGTGTTTTCCCACTTCCCTTTTTTTGACTCTAGCATCTTGCAGAACCATGGTTGCAATATTGTCGAATGGATTTCGCACAACATGAACAAACTTCACCTTTGCGCCGGCGGCTTTCTCTAGGAGTCGAACTGCATCAACGGCTTTGTCTTTCCTCATTGCTCCCGCCGTAAAGGCACCTGACTTGTCTCCGATCACCTGAATCAAAATTTTAGGGATGGTTCGTAATACGATTACTGTCAGGGCAATTACAGACTGAACTACTTTTCTCTATCGGTATATCAAATTATGCTGTTGAAACAAACCGAGGGGCCAGTCCCTAACAACTGGTGGTCAACAGTAAATTTGGTTTCGCTTAACTACACCCAACCATTGGTTGAAAAAAGCCTTACAAAAAAAGACCCCCTGTATGTCTCCGATACGGGGCAGATGTACTAACCATTAAGTTATCGTCTTTGCGCATTCAATTTCTTAAAACGAACCAACAAACAAATGAACAGAAAAACAAAAATTCCATTTATCTGACCTTGATATACTGATCATACTGGCCCTGCCATTGATTTGGTACATAGTACGAATATGGAGAAGTCACATTCACTACTCTTCCTTCAAATACACGCGAGCGTCTACCGTGAGCAACTGCGCTCTGCGAAGCTCCAAATAACGTATCATAAAAAGCGTATATCGAACCATTTAGCCACGTTTGGAGACCTCCTATCCATCTTGGAAAAGCCATTGCCTCATCGGAAACCACCATGTGTGGATGTGCATCCAATAAGGAGCCAAGAAGACTGTGACGACTACGCGGATATCCAATAAAAAACAAGATACTGTGTACGTGACCATAAGCTTTGTACAAGTCGTTCTGTGAATCTGTGCCATCTGAGAAAGACCGATGAACAAAAAAAACGTCAACAAAAGAGCAAAAAGCTGGGTTTGATTCTTAAGGTTGCGAAGGACACCACATTGAACGAAAATTACATCAAATCTCACAGCAATACATTATTTCTAAGGGTTCAAAGACATGATCAGAGAATACTTTACGAAGCGCAAAGCGATGGAAACATCTCTCATCGGTAGAGTAAGGTTAGTTGTTAAGTTGTTGGTTGTTGAACATTTGTCAAGACCGTGGAACATTCTGTACAATAATGAAGGTTTTCATAGCTTGCGCTGGCATAAAGTCTGACATAATTTGAGAAAACAAGCATAGTTTTTCCTATTTGTAAAACAGTAGCACTGCTATATCATCCAAAATTTAAGTATATGTACCATCATCTGTAGTTGTTCTTTCGTTTTCTCTTGGTTCAGTGCGAAGTAGATCCTTTGGTTCGCTGTTTTCAGCTTGTGTCAGCAACGGTGCAGAATTAACCCCGCTATCTCCTCCTTGATTTGAATGGAAGACAAGAATGTAGACAAGGTGAAGAGAAAACCTCTTCTGTTGAAAGATGTAGTCATGATCCTGATAAAAGTGTCGTGTGGTACGACGATCCGTCAAGATCAAAATGTCACCGCAAATTTTACTCTGGGAGGGTGAAATACTCAACCAGAAAGTGAATTTTAAAAAAGTAAGCATACAGCTCAGTGTAATTCAAGATAAGCCTAGAATACAAATGGATGAAAGCTTAATGAAAAATTGATACAGAAAGGGCTCCAGACTTTCTTCTTCTTTTGAGTAACTACATACCATGTTATGACTAGAAGCAAGCAAAACATTTACCTCGACTAATATTTGTGATATTTGTTTATTTGCCAAATTTTTCTGTTTCTTTGAGTTATGTTGTTTGTTTTTTTGTTTGTTCAATGCGAACGTTATGATACACACGGCAAACAAATAACTCACCGTAATCCTCGATAATCAGCTTTTCTTTGATGTAGAAAGCATCATCTCTCCATGTCACAAAAAGCACAGCAAGTCCAAAGCCAAAAAATAAACCAAAAATCATTCCTCTAAATCTGGCTAACAGCCTCCGGATCATTATACTGCCTCAGTCTCTAATTTCTGTGACTGAAAAACAATGCATTACACTGTAAATTATGCCAATCAAAAAATCCTTGCTCAAAAAAAAAACCCTCTCCCTGACGAAGGGCTAACCCCCGAACCGTCAGCTTTCGAAACTCTTTACGGTGGCCTATCGACATTATCAACCCAGCTGATAAAACGAAATTGTCTTGTGACACCCCCCACCGATGCAGCACCATAGTTTCTTTAAAAACTAACCCTCTTTATCCAGATGATATATATGGGTATATACTAAAATAGTAGATAGCGTAGAAGGTGCATGGGCGGCCGTCACCACCAAAAATACAAGAATGTCAAATAGATCAGCAAATACAAAGCTGGTCTAAGTATCAGCGACTACACCATCACATGGTGTAGTCGCTGTTTTGATGGTGAGAAAACTGACATCCTCGATCTGTTTTGACATTTTTCAATCAAAGTGATGTCGAAATGCTTTAACTGCAAACACTATTTTTGGCACACCAATTAATGCATTTCGATATCACTTTGATTGAAAAATGTCAAAACTGATATTCTGATCTGTTTTGAAAAAATGAATTAACAATATATTTCCATCGTCGATCATATTCTTCCAGGAAAAAAACTTTTTTTCCTTTTTCCATATGATTATTCATGCACTTAAGATACAAGATTTTCCAGTGGGTGATAACATATTTACAGTTTTTTGCATTTTTTTACTTTGACTTGCATTAAAATTCTACGGCAATTTCAAACGTTCTTGTTGATAAAAGAAATTTTAATGACGCAACGTGTACTTGTGAAAAAAAGAAATCGCTATTTAGTTCCCTCAATCGGGGATTGAGGTGGAATCATCGATCACAGATAGCTGTTAAATCAGAGGGAATCATGAATTCTTATGTTCAAAACATGGAATCATGAATGATTACGAGATAAAGAGTCAGAATATTTTGAAAATCGAAATTATGTTGTTGATAAATCGTGAAAAAGAGAGCTTAAAAAAGTCAGAAATCACGCATCTCGAAGGTCGAATGATTTCGCTTCCACCCCAGCTCCTAAATAATATCGCCTAAAACAGGCTTTTTCTCTGGCAAGCTATTTCGCATATTCACCGATTAAAGCTCTTCTAAATATGAAAATAAATAAATAAATACCCAAACATGGAACTTTTTTTCTTTCCTTCCATCCTAACCTTTCGAAGATCCAGATCCTCCTCGAGGAGTTGAATCTCGGCTTCGACTTGATGATAGTTATTCAACGGAAACCAGGACTGAACCGTATATGATGAGATTGGATTTGCAAAATGATGCATTTTAAGCAAACCTGTTAAATTGTTATGGAAACTTATTAAAACACAATTGAGAGAGTCAACTCCCTGAGCGATTTATACTGCTGGGATAATCCTTTTCACTGAAAACACCCCGCGTCAAATGAATTTTCTAAAAAATTATCATCGCCAATTCATAATGTCGTGTTATTTCCATGATTGTTTTTACTACACCTCCTATTAGTTAACATCGCATACATTGTTGTACAATAGCCGAAACCAAGAGAATATCAACTAAGATTACTTATCCTCGTGACTCATAATAATGTTTTTAGTCTATTGTAGATTTCGCCCCATACTGGTAAGCTATTCATGTTTAGACCTCCCATAATGACGCGGTTAACAATCTCCATATGACCTGTCTTGGCCATTCAATGGATTCTAGTGAAGTTAATCGATTTTCTAGTGATAAGAATCTTAAAATCGGTAACCGCTTATTATCATAACAAATTTCTCAATGTTTGTCTCACCATTTGATTACCTACTCTCGATGACTGGTAGGCACACAGATGTATAAATAATTTAAATCGTGCCTAACTGTAGTTTTGGCTAGCTTAATTTCTGCTATTGTGATGATGTCTTTCTAATTTCGCGCAACGGTAGGAGCTCATGTAAACAAAGTCATCTACCAATTTCTCCACCAATTCATAAAAGTAATAAGCCGTAAAGTTTACCGAATTTTATTAGAAGCTAGTTCGTGTCGCTTAGCAAAACTTGAATGTTAATAATCAGTATATCAGAAGCGAGAATGAGCCGGTCCTCTTTTTGTTTCCATTTTTAGTTTTAAAGCGCCTGAAATTATAAATGGATGCTCTACATAAATTCAAAATTAATATGTTCTCTCAAAATATTTCTTCGTTCGATACACCATCGAAACATTAAGCTTGATAAAATTTTTGGGCACAGTTGCGTGAATCGATACGAAATCGCGCCTTACTGATGCTCAGACGAGTTCCCCATCGTTTAGTTTGTATCAGTGTTTTCATTTTCTCTCAAACCATTAGGGCTCTTGTAAATGACTAGAGTAAATAATGGACTGGACCATTGGACTCTTGGACTATATTTCGAGCTATTTTTTGGACCATTTCCTTGGACCTTTTTTTTGGATCAATTTTTGGACCATTTTATGGGGTGGGGGGGGGGCAGACCAGTAGTGCTTGGGGCAGGGAAGGACCGGAAATTCCATGATCTTTGTCGTTTGATAAGATCAATGACGTAAAGAAGATAGCTAAATTCAGGAGTTCAGCGATGGGCTCCTGCTAAATTTCATGATCTACTGTTTACACAAAGGGAAACGTGAAGCAATTGATGGATGATTCGTGATAACCTGTGAGTAGCATTTAGCATTGGCACAAGTCGACTCAAAAGACACACGCATGACTCAACAGTAGAGGATCAAAAACAGGAATTGGTGACTGTTTTCAATAACAATTATAGTCCAGTGTTTAGGTGCCAGTTTCGTATTCGCCTGATAAAAAAATTAAGAAGCGCCGAGGCCCAGCGCAAAAATTTGACATAAAAATAATCAGTCGAAAAACCGCTCACAATAATTTGTATGATCCAGTGAAAACTCCATTAATCAGCAGCATTTACTAACACAACAAACGCCCAAAACTGCCTGCGTTCTATTAGTCCGTCCTAAACCCCTCCCTCAGTAACAACAGTCTGCCTCCCACCCCTCCCTAAGCACTTATGGTATGCTCTCTCTCTCTCTCTCTCTCTCTCTCAGCATAACGTATATATTTGACAACTTTGAGTTCAAAATGGAAATTAAAATAATTTGCCGTCGCGGTTTCCGTTTGCAGACCTCGCAAATTTTGGTGATTTCACGTAGATGTTTCGCAGAGGACGACAACGAGATGTATACAGTTTTAAAACGCACGTGCTGAACCATTGTTCTGCCCATTATATCTTTCGTTAAGTCACGTTGTCGTTGCCGCCACCTTTGTGGTTTACGCAAGGTCCCTAATAATAATTCTCCTCGTCGCCTTAATTGAAATTGGAGTGATCTGTAGTATTAATGGGCCAGTAAGCTTATAAATGTTAAACTTTATTGCATGTTTCATGTTTAAAAACCAGAGCTGATCCCTTTTGACGGACCATTTCTTGCCTTTGTACATGAATACTGAACATCATCATTACACCACAATGGTAATGGGACCGATTGGAGTCCCATTCGGTCTGTAATCGTATGAGTGATTAACAAATTAAAATCGGACGACCCCGAAGTAAATATAGGGCACGGAATAATACCGAGTGACTCGCAAAATATTCGATTTTATCACATGTTAAACCATAGAATAAGGTGTATATCTGAGTATGGATCCTCAAAGAAGCTTGTCTGTAAGATAATAATGCAACACATTTACAAGCAGATATAGTTAGTGAAAAACGTTTCTTTTATGTAAAAACTTAACGTGCCTTTATCTTGAGATATATCATATCTTTGGGTGCCATGAGAATCACAGCTCGGTGTTCCAGTGTGGCCACGGTTTCTGGGGCGCGTTCAAACTTGAATCGTTGCAGGATTTTTAGCAAAGCGAGTTTGATCTCCAATAGAGCAAGACGCATTCCCATACATTGGCGTGGACCTGTTCCAAACGGGAGGAAGGAATACGGGTTCCGCTTCTCCTTTGCTTCAGGGGAGAAATTCTCCGGGTTGAACTCCAGGGGACTCTCCCATACCTCCGGGTCCCGATGCAGCACATAAGACGGAACGTTGACTTCAACTCCCTTGGGGATGCGGATACCTTTGTACTCCGCGTCTTCGTCACAGCGACGGATTAGATTAAAAGCTGGGGAACAAAGGCGAAGGACCTCAGAGATGACTTGATCCAAGTATCCGAGTTTTTGCACATGATCATAAAGGGGAGTGCTTCCACGGGTTTCTTCAGCTTTGTCGATCTCCTCAATGAGCTTATTCTGAACCTTTGGATTGGCTGCAAGGAGGTATGCCGCGTTTGTCAAAGTGCTCCCTGTAGTCTCGAAGCCGGCCAACAAGAACGTAATGGATTGAGCCATGATTTCATTATCACTCAACTTGCTGACTCCATCGACTGTGGTCTCATGGGCTTCCAGCATAAGCTGTACCAAGTCTCTAACTCCCGTTGAACCCTGCTGGCTTCGTTGATCGAGCATGCTTTTTGCCAAGGCGGCGAAATAATCTGCGTTCTGTAGTATGCTGAAGAAGCGGCTGAGGTAGGTCCAGAATGGAAACACGGAGAACACTCGAATGTAAATGGGTGTTTTAAAGACGTTTTTGGCTTTTTCAACAAATTCTGGGTCTGGTTTCATTTGTACATCGGTGTCAAAGCCAAATGCTGCTTTCATGATCACTTCTAAAGCGAAGAGACTGAAGAGACGGTTGACATCTACTGACTCACCTAGCGAAAAACAAAAATGGAAATAAGTTACCGGTCACTGATTATCGGGGGGGGGGGGAGGGGGAAGAAATAGGGGTTGGGGGATTTATATAATACCCCCTTTTATACTCTGTTGGCGACGACTGATCTCCCCTCCCCCTCCCACTGAAAACTGTGTTATTTCCCACAAAAACCCTCCAGCCTCTGCCCCTGGGGAGACTACATGTATGTGATGGACGAGTTGTAAACAATACTTCGAGTGCGTTCTAACCGATTCCCCCGCGGGGGGGGGGTCTACTTCCTAGCGATAGGACAGGCAATAGGTTAATTGAGATGTGCCGCTTGATTGAGTCGCATGTTCACCGCTGGATTGACTATAATGGGGTTGAATTTTCACTAGAGTTACTGGTGAGACTGAGTTCGTGCATATTCGAAATTCTGGGTTAAGAATACTCGAGTAAGTAGGGATTTACACGTCTTAGTTTGGGGCCTAGGTTGAATATAACGGCCTTCTTTATTGACATTCAGCCTAAGTATGTTCTTAAAGTTTCGTTTAATCTCAGCCTGAACGTCCTCATAAAAAGTTTCTAACTAAAAAAAAGAGTGTACATTAGATGTAAAAGCATGTTCACTGCATTTTTATAAAAAAAGGTTGCGTGACATTCGCAAAATTAATTCCCAATTTTTGTCAGGGTTAATCAAAACTGGTGATATTTTGGTAAAATAACACGTCATTGAAATCTTAGTGCTTAATGTCAATCACGAATCGGAGAAAAAGGCGGCGAAGAACCTACAGGTGGATATTAAGATGCAATAGGCAGTTACCGTAAGAAACATTACAGAAGCGTGACATGCCGGGTAAATTATTCAGTATCTGTTCGCTTGGACAACTGTTACTGTAATCCGTCTAAACAAAAGATGCTTGAAAAAGACAACTGCGAAATGCAAATTTTTTCACAAAAAGGCGTGACATGCCGGGTAAATTATTCAGTATTCGTTCGCAAGGACAACTGTTATTGTAGTCCGTCTAAACAAAAGATGTTTGAAAAAGACAACTGCGAAATGCAGATTTTTTCACAAAAAGGCTTAGTAGGGCATTGCAGCCTCACATATTGAATTGTGTTTTATACCGACGTTAATACAGCCGACCCTTGATTGAAAGATTATTTCTCTAATTTTATCGTGTATTGTTGCAAGTTTAGCTTTTTGATAGCTCTTCCTAAATAAATAAAACCTTGTAGGTTGTGCTTGTGCTTAAAAACAACAAAAGTAACTTTAAATCCGGCGTAACGAGCAAAATGTTTCCGATAAATTTAGCGATGGTAACAAATTTTTGACAGCACACAATTTTATCTTGCGAAAATAAAACATATTTTTTGAATACCAAATATTAAGCCACGAATATTCCTAGTTACGTAATTGATACAAAGAATGAATAAAGGTTTCACGGTTGCTTACCCGTTTCGGAGAACTTTTCCATTTTGGCATGAAGCTTCTCCGAGGCATTTTCTATTATCGGCACAATTTGCTTCAGTTTGTTGGCGGTAAAGGTGGGAGTTAGAGTCGTTCTTATACGCTTCCACGTCTCTCCTTCAGCGATGAACAATCCCGAGTTCAGAGGTGGTCTGGGTTTGATGAAAGCAGGTCGATTTGGGAACTTGTGGAAATCCTTGACCAAAATTTGCTTGACAATTTCGGGATCAGTGACGACAATAATCGGTGAGCGACCAAAGCACGACTTGTATACTCGTCCGTACTTGTAGAAGTAGTTAAGGAACATCTTGTGAATGCCGCCATATTTGAAAATATCGAGGAGATTACCGATCCAGGGCCACGGTTTTGGACCCGGGAGTGGAGAACCGCCAAGAATCGAGTTGTATCGGCGCAAACCTTGCCAATAGATGAGCACTAAAAAACCAAAGATTAACGCCAACCATGTGTAAATGTCGATGTTATGCACATACTGGAGGACGGAATCCATCATGGGGGTGTTGCCTTCTGTTGTCCAGACGAAAACGCCACTGTTGGAACTAAAATGCGGTTACATTTATAATGCGCAGTGATCATGCGTGACAAATTGATTTGTTGCCGGATATGGCACGGTTTGCGTGATCATATCCACGTTGTCACTGCTGCGTCATGCACCCGGCCGAGTGCTACGTCAGCATTTTCACGTTGTCGCTTCTAAATGGTCGCTGTTCCGTCACGCAAAAAAATTTAACAAATAAATAAAGTCTTGAGCCCATGAGTTTTCGCGTCTTCTGAGAAAAGTCGCCTGTGCAGTTTTTACCAATTTAGCACCTTAGATTTTTATCCTGAATGACAATGGTTTTTTCCTTCAATACGTTCCTTGATTTATGTCAGAAATTCGCCACACTTTCGCGTTCAACTGTGTTGTAGAACTTTTATAATGAAGTTTCAGGATTGTTTTCAGAAAAAAACGTCTCAAGTGCCGTTTCTGGTACTTATTTAGTAATTTTTTGGGGGTAGGTTCCTGCATTTAAGGCCTAGTTTCTAACTCGCGTACTCAACAATATGTTGATATGAGAAGCATGAGAATTTGGTCCAATAAAATATCCTGTTTATCCTTAGTAAGTTGAACCTGTCGGTGGCAGGGAGGGAGGACGTGAGATGAAGGGCTCTTAAGCGTTCTTAAATTGAGTTATTACATAGAGCATAGAGCAAAATCCTGAGCACAATTTTGACATACAGCTGCTTTCCGGGGTGACCCTCACAGCATAATGTTCGAATTCCCGAGCATAATATATATGATCCTATATAAGAGACCAGATTGTTCGTTGGCGAGCACACATTTTTTCCTTTGTTTTTAAAAAATGTGTCGCCTGAACTCTACGTTCACACGGGGTAAAACTGTCAGCAGGGCAGTCGAGAGTACAGTGCCGTGAAACAAAAGGATTAACTTGATAAAAAAAAGGGTCTCTCTCAAGACATCAGGGTCCAGTTGTATATAGGGCGGATAACGCTATCCAACGGATAAATCGCTATCCGGCAGATAAGTGATAGCAAAACTTATAGCGTTATCCACCGGATAGAGTTTTATCCAGTGGGTAACGCTATCCAACCTTCGAACAACCGAGACCAGGAGTTGAAAAACGAATGAGAAACACCAATAAGAACTTGAAGAAATTCGAGTCCTTCTTATTTTCTAAATGCTAAAATCAATCTCGCCTAAGTTTCCATTATGGGTCAACTGCTCAAGTCGCATGAGAATTCAGTAACAGAACCAGAATCGTCCACTAAGCTGTAAGATCTACACGCCGTACTAATTCCGTTCTCTTTATCAACTTGTGGCTTGATCGAATGTTCGCCGGTCTTTTCTTCTTCCGAAATTGAAAATTTCCCTTCGAGCTCGAGTCTTTCATCGCACGTGACCTTCTCCAACCTTTGCCATCTTTTGGGAGGCCAAACAATGCGAGTTGCTTTTCCTTGGATTAATCCAACAGCCACCTGACGAAAATTACAACACAATTTACCAAAAGAGAAGTCCAGAAAAGGCAAACAAATTAAAAACGAAATGAGGAAAAACACGAACTTCCAAGAATTCCCGTCTCAAAGAGCTCAATAAAATATAACACGGATCAAATTTAAAAAGGCTTGTTGAATGAAAAGCAAAACAAGTTGAGTATAGAAAGACGCGACTCTTATAACGACTTCTGCTGGGGTTTTCGAAGGGAAGAGCCACTTACAAAATCTTTCAAGATTTACAAAAATGCGACTTTCAGCGCTTCAAAACGTCACAGTGAAACAATGAAATCCTCACAGTAGCACACTGTATAAACACCGTGGGCTCCAAGTCATGAAGCAAGTCAATAACTCTATGAAAGCCCCTCTGGATACTTGAAGGATCTGTGTATAGCAAAAATAGTACAAACAACAACAAAAACTACAGAAAACAGAACTCACCGGTCCAAAAGAATTGCTGTCATGACTATGAGAGTGATTGTCACCCTCCACCCAGCAATGTCCTTTTGGAATTTTCACAATCTTCTTTTTGTAGTTAATGCTTCTATAAAACAGAGAAACAGGAATTATTGTTCAACAATGAACATTCTAACACAATGGCATGTCACAGCCCATTAAGGTAAATGGTAGTGTACATGTAAGTTGGATATCAGTGAAAGCAGGCCCTCAATATCAAGCCTGCAGTATGCACGATTCTCCACAGCAGGAAGATTTGAGAAAAGCTGGAGAAGTTTGCCAGGGGGTCTGGCACTAATAATTATCAGTGCCAGGCCCCCTATAGACCTCTCACCAGCTCAAGTTTTTCAAGGCCTCATATTTTCCCTGAGGGGGGGGGCAAAGAAATGATCAAGCTAGGATATCAGATATATATCCTGTACAACTTTCGGGAGAACTAATAGACAGTTATTCCACAAGCGCACACAGGATAAGAGATAATTGATATCCAACCAGGCCTGTAGGGCTGAGTTGACTATCTATCATCTCATATACAACAAGCACAAGTGGAATCATTGTTTTATTAAAATAAAACCAAAGTAAAGATAAATAACTACATTTTTTAGCTCCGTTCTAATTTTGCGCTGATGCATACACTTACCATATTTGTGGAGCGTGGTATAATGGCTCATAACCCATGATGGCTAGGCCCATGAAACTCTTGAATTGCATTATCCATTGATCTAGTTTTTAATAGTGATGGTTATCATGTTCATCTGACCCACTAGGTCATAGGGTCTTATCTTTTATTGTAAGCAGTTCCTAAGTGTCAACATTTTTGCAGGAGAGTGAATACAGAAACAGTAGTATCTATTTAAAATCATATCATAACTCACCTTACACGGTCGCCTTCTAGAGCTATAACTCTCTTTATTAAGGCAGCATCAGGATCTGTGGGATCACTTGGTTTATATAAAATAATAAGGGAAATTATAGCAATTACAATCATGTTGTAGCTGTATTTTGTAAATAGCCAATTGGAATGCCTCCTGCTAGGTCAATTTTAAACCAACTCACCATATTCCCTTGAATAAGCACCCACACTCCAATAAGCACCCTCCCCTCCCCTGAAATAGCACCTACCCTATCGGCCATCAAATTAAACAAGACCCCCCCCCCCCTCAAATAGTGCCCACCCCCCTTCTGGCTCCCCCTCACTTCCTTAAATAGTTATTAGGATACAAAGAAAACCTGTACGGGATTTGAACCCATGACCTCTGCGATACTGGTGCAGCGCTCTACCAACTGAGCTAACAAGCCAACTGGTCAATGTGTTGGGTCCAAATAAACCAGCCAAGTGATGAAGGATGATTTTAGATATATGAAATTCATATATTTGCACTGCGGTGAAGAAACGAAAATAAGAGTGTTCTTAGCTGTGATGATCTCTTAATTTCGTTTCTTCACTACAGTGCAAATATATGAATTTCATATGTCTAAAATCATCACAAAGAAAACCTGTTTGTATTTCCACTTAATACAACCTTAATAGCACCCTCCTGCCATTTTATTCCTCCCTCCATTTGAGCCAAAATTTTTGATAAGAGCCCAGATGCTTATTCAAGGAAATATGGTACTGACCTATTTCAAATACTGTGAGCATAATCATTATTCTTTGATCCAAAAGTAAATTAGTCTTCCTGATCTTGTCAACAAAAATAATAGTAATTAAAATTTTACCCAAATGTGAGGCTTGCAAGGTTTATCTACATAGTGAGGAATGATATTGAAGCCCACCTTTCACATAAGAAGCCTGAAATGTTCATACCAGTCTTTGTTTACACTGAACTGTAGAACTTTTCACTTACGTCAAAGTAACAATGTCTCCTCTGTTAATTCCTTCAAATCGCCGGACAGCCCAGCTGTTGACAAGCACTACATCACTACTTTGACAGGGATTGGGATTTAAGGTTGGCTGGGCAGAAAAAAAGTGAATAACTATTAATTAACAAAATTAATGAACTACTGATAATATAGAATATTTATATTCCGTTTATATGGCATATTGCAAGAAACTCTGTACACCAAATCTTAACCCTATAACTCCTTCATGCGTGACCAATGAGTAATTTTTCTCCACAATATCAACACATTTTCAAACAAAAAGTGATAACACAAAAAATTTCAATCTCAGAATACAACAACAAATTCTCAGAGCTTAAATTTTGAGATATGTGCGTAAGAGAGTAAGGAAATTTAATATCACGGAAAGAACTCCTGAAACTCACTTGCATAGAGATGCCAGTTACACCTTTGACGCTTCCTACATAGTCCACGAATGTGATAACCACAGGTACACCAATGACAAAACCACGGGTAAACATTCCAAGAACGTTTATGTATGGTCTCACTCTCTGGTAAACCATAGCGATTTATTCAAATGTGCAGTTACTGAAATCTACCAGTCAGTTTATCATATTTTGAGAATGTGAGTGATAGATCCTCCATGTTGTTTTCCGACTTGCATTCAAGAACGAGAATAGCCTGGGAACAAAACTAGTATCATTCGTACCAGTCCTTTGAAGCTGCGCGTTCAACATGGCGCATGAGGTTTGTGCGGAAAGCGCGTTATTTGAAGGTCGTTGAATTGAGTTAAGATTGGTCGAGTTTTAAAATGGTTTCATCAGAAGAAAGTATCATTTTGTTTTAAACTTAACTCAACCATGGAGGCGGATGGTGATAAAGCAACTGCGATTGGATGTCCTTCACAGACGGTGAGTTATTCTAGCAACTTGGGTATCTAAATTTGTAGCAACCTACCATAATTTGGAGGTGATGGTCTGGGTCTACGTGATGATTTATCTTCTTACGTCCTTCTAATCGCTCGACAGAAACATTATACTGACCTTATTATTATCATAAGTGGACCCTCAATAATGGTATAGACTTTGCTTATGCTTCTCAGGGGCGTAGAAGCTACTGGGGTGTAAATAGGCCTTTTCAAAGAAGGGGGATGGAGGTCACACTCTGCCACACCCAGGGTACCCATGCGAAAGATATTTTTCAGATGAGTATTGAGTGATTGATACTGGGTAGATCTTCAGGAAGAACCTTCATAATAATTTCTGGAAAGTGTGATGAAGAAAATACAATGATGGTGCCAGGTAACTTTTCATTACACAAGCTGCGCCTAAAGAGTGGCTTCAGGTATAGTCCAGTCAATGTAATTACCATAATATTCTTTTATCAGTCCCTGGCAGGTAAAGCTGCTGTATGTCAAGGATGCCCAGGACAGTATCTCTGTAGTCAACAAGGTAGATTGTTTTCAAACCTTGGATTTTTAAAATAACACACACACCATTAACTTGGTTCCATTTTACATTTTACAAATTATACAAAAATATAAGAACACTGTACAGCTAGCTAGGCCTGTTTTTTAAATATAATAATTATTCTCTGACACACATTATAATTTCTTTGAAAAGATTGAATTCCCCTACATGAACATATTTCATGTTAAGGAAAGCTCTTTACTAGCTGGTGTCTGAACGGTGAAATATGATAAAGAAATTATAGATTAAAATCACTGGGGGCAAATTGAAATTAGTCCTCTTTTGATTGTTCTAAATCTAATCAAATATCAGTTTTTGGCCATGAAAAAATTTAAGTACAGTATATGTGAAGAAAGGAAAAATTTGGTTACTAGATACATTTAACCCTTTAACTCCTGTGAGTGACCAAGACAGAATTTCTCCTTACTATATCTATACAATACTATGCAGACAAGTGATGAGAATAAAGAAAAATATAAATTATGGGATTACTAATTGATCTGATGCCAAATTCTCCAAACTAACCTAATGAGAATCGTTTGGCAGACAGTAAGGAGAATTGCTAATGAGATCTTGGGAGTTAAAGGGTTAAAAGTCCTAAAACTCATTTTTTATGTTAATGATCAACAGGTGTCTTGGACCCAGATCAAGAGATGATTGATTTGCGAATGAATGCAGTCAAACATAAGATTCTTATTTTATCAGGAAAAGGGGGTAATAATGTGTTGTAGTCTTGAATTAATTTCAGATCATAATGATTCAAATCTAGTGTGATTTGATTTTCCTTTGTTCTGGATATGTTACCATAATTCTTAACAAAGGAAATACAAATCAAGCTGGTTGAATTCACTTATCACTTTAAACTGCAATAAATTGTACATGGTACTGCAATATACTATTTTAAGTCAATCAAATTGAAGTTAGTTTCCTAGTTCATTATATTTGAATCTAGGTTTGACTCCTTCCTCCTTGCACCTGTCTTATCATAAAGGACCTCTTGTTGCAGCGTTTAGATCACCCCTGATGAAGGCACCAGACAGGAGTTTCAAAACATTGGGTCTATGAATTGTAACTTCTCAGTTACGCTCATTAAATCTTTAAACCAGAGTAGCATCAAACCATATCTGAGTTTCACTCCTGTTTCAAATTTTTACTTCTTTTTTATGACTCATTACACCAATTTTAAAATGAAAAAGTACATGTTCATAATTATTGTAGTCAACCATCTTAATTCATTACTAAAGCTGCCCATTTTCTTGCATGGTTAACCCTTTAATTCCCAGAGGTGATCAACATGAAACTTCTTCTGATAATATCCTTACATTATCCTGCAAACAGCTAATGAGAATATTCAAACTTATCAGGTAGAAGTTGTTGTCTTGATCTAACACCAAATTCTCATAACTAATCTACAAGGATATGTGTAACAGCTAGAAGGGAGAATTACTAATTAGAACTTGGGAGTGAAAGGGTTAAGTAATGGGAAAAGGTTATGGCCAAGACTGAAGGAGTTGGAAGGGCTGAAAATTATAAACATCTTGCTATAACCTTGTTTTCTCAGTATTTTTTGTAATTTACAGAACCTCTTTTTTCCACTTAAATTTGCAGCCTGCATGCTCTGCTTCCCGCTTAGTCCATAAATCAGATCAGAAAAAAACTTGGTCTTTAATTTACAGTATGGATCTTGAACTTGATTAGTAAGAGTTGTGTCTTACCCTCCTCTGATGTAATCTAAGAATGAAGGTTGCTGCTCTAGTTTGCACTGCATAAGGGAAATCTGGTTGAAAAAAAAATGCAATAAGAGTATTACCCAGAACAAAAGAATAAAATATCACCCTCAAATTAATCAGTTATCCAACACATGTAGCAAAATTTTACATTTATTGAGCTCAGTTCTCATTTAATTTCAGTTTACTACACTAACCGTGCCAGAGTTCTTGTAACCTTTTTTTTTCGCTTGCTTCTTTGGATTCATGCACTGGAAAAGACATTGGGTCAAGATATTAAAAAACATATCTAAATACAAGAATGATTAGTAATGTATAGTTTAAAGAGCATATCCCAGTTTCTGCAATGTGGAACAACAAAAAGATTCCTTCTTCTACTGGGCAAGATATCAGTCCATTGTGGGGTTACCCATAAATATAATTCACACTTACCAGCCTGGATATCTTTCTCGAAATGTCCAAAATCCAAGCATGGTGATCATTAAATCGGGAGATATTGCAGGTGGATACTTAGCATAATATTTTGTAATTAGCTTCCAACCAACAGGGTTACACATTCTAAGCCCATTGGAATTCTACAGCACAATTAGGAATCAAAATAAAATTACAAACCACATGATTAATCAGTAAAGGTTTTTCTTTAAATCTGGATTTTTGTAGGAGTTGGTAAATCAAGTGTGGCTTCTAATCTTAGCATGGCTCTTGCTAACATGGGCCAAAAGGTAACATTATAAGACATGAGGTACTACATCTAGTAAGGGTAGAGCCTGTGTACACTGAAAATATTTTTTATGTGTGTTACTGTGTACAAGGACAGAAGTATTATAAATGTCAAAACTACTTATTATAACCTTTAACCCTTAAGAGTGACAAGCATCTAATTTCCCCTTATAATATCAGCCCTGAATCAAACATTAAGGTCATGAGAATAAAGGAAATGATCAACAAGTACAGGAGCTCTTGATTGTTGAGCAAAATCTCCTTGTCAGCACCCTAAGAAATGTATGGAGAACAGTATGGAGAATTTGTATAATGATATTAGGGTGTAAAGGGTTAATGGAAAACCAGTTAATTTGCAGTCATGTAAATTTTTATATCTTGACTGAGGGATATACAGTCTGTTTTGCTTGAACTCATTGTAGTATTGAGAGGCTTTATTTAATTCCAGTAATTCTTTCTCTGATCAGTAAAAGAAGGATATTTATTTGAATGAAAAAAAAAATTGACAAGGTTAGTGGCACTTTAATGTCAATGTTGTGGGAAACATTATACAACTCAACCTCTCAGTTTTGTACTTGAAATAAGCCACTTTTCTTAAGAGTTCAAACTATCTACACTCCACCATACATCACAAATACAGTGGCCAAATAAATTCTTAGGGGATGCATTAACTATACAATGAACACGTTGCTGGTCAAAGTGGAATACAGGTTAACCCTTTACACCCTAACATCAATATGCATATTCTCTGTACTGTTCTCTATACATTCCCTAAGGTGCTGACAAGGAGAATTTGGTATAACAATCAAGTTCTTCTTTGGCTGGTGATCATTTCTTTTTTTTCTTGTGATCTCGATGTGTGATTCAGGAATGATATTGTAAGGAGATCAATATTAGATTTTAGTCATTCTTATCGGTTAGAGGGTTAAAATGATTTCAGACTAGGTTGATTTGTATTTCTTTGATTTTAAAACAATCAAAATCATAATTTTTTATTAATGAAATGAAATACAAATTTTAAGGTAGTTACAAATATGTTTGACCCAAATTCACTTTATTTAAATGACATTTGGTATATTGGGACTAATTTTAACTTTGGTTTAGGTGGGGTTAGTGGACTTGGACATTTGTGGTCCAAGTGTACCAAAGCTAATGGCAGTTGAAGGACAACAAGTCATTAACTCACCATATGGATGGACTCCTTTGAAGTAAGAATGAATACATACTTCTAACAGAGTTTGAGGTTGGTATTGTTTTTTTTTTTCCACACAAAGCATGTGCGCCATAATCCAAGTGGATGAAACAATGTTCTGCAGTTTACAGTACTAACCAAGAAAACATGGTTATACAGTAGAACACACCAGTGGCGGATTTAAGGGAGGGGCTGGGGGGGCCCCCTTTATTTTGGGTAAAAAAAAAAAAAAGAATTGCAGAAGGAGGAAAAGCCAGCACCACCCCCCTTTCCCCCCCCCCCCCCCTTAGCTCAAGGTCTGGATCCACCACTGCACACTACAACAAAATGTAACACAAAACAACTCAAGAAAAGACATGACAATACAACAGAGTAGAGTAAATACGATGCTGTACATTACAACACGGTTGCCAATATTGGCACCCCCTCTCAGTGGATGCCTTTTTGATTGTTCCAAAGTTCCTGAAGTAGGAGTCAGTACAGTCATCAGGGGCATCTGAGATAATAACTTAAGTTTAGGTTAGGAACAGCTTCTGTATGAATTATAGGATGTGTAAGCTGTAGGCATAATGTTGAGTGTCTTTTTTCCACCTTCAGATCGCCTCATTTTGGTGTAAAAGTTATGTCAGTAGGTTCTTTACTGCAAAAGACAGACAATGCGTAAGTTACTGGAAATGTGCATGTATGTATAGTCTGGTATTAGTTGTAAAAAGCTATGAATTGAATGCGTTAGAGCAGAAATGTAACTGTGTCAGCATTGATGATGTACATCTTCTTAGGCAAAGAACTTAGTATATACTTAATTTTTTTAACTCTTATACTTCTTGTCATGATTAAAATGTAATTTCTCTTTACAATGTTCATACAAAAAAAACTGGTGATAAGAACATGATCTATCAGATGCACTGTCATACTGATATCATACAAAATTCTTCACACCAATTGACTAATTAATTAATTGACTAATACAGTTTAATATTTGCATCTTTATTCAACATGGAGATCAGAAACACAATGAAAAGCCATTCGGTTTCAGTAACCTCCTTCCCTCTCCTGTAAACTTTTTCCAGAAAGGGAAAATTTTTTATAAATATTTCAATTCATAGATCATAAGATGCTATTTTATTATTGAAATGTAAGCTGTTTTTTAATCTATATTTTAATCTGTAAAAAGTTCATTTTTCTTTTTTCTTTGTCACATTCCAGCAACATTCTTTTAAGCATTGACGAATTTTTTTTTCAATGAACTTTAGGATAATATGGCGCGGACCGCGGAAAACAGGTATGGTTCTTGTTGGTCTGGGCTCCCGCTTGTAAGGCTTTCAATAACCTACAAAAAAAGGCCTTTCTTTTCTTTCTTTATATATATTTGTTATGTTTTTAAATGTTTTAGGTCTAATCAAGCAGTTTATGAAGGACACATTTTGGGGTCGCCTCGACTTTCTTATATTTGGTAAGTTACGGTATGCAGTTTTTAGGTCTTTTTTTGTTGGAAATTAACTAGTCTGAATATTGAGGGGCTGCGGGAAAAGATAGTACCAACGATTTAATTGTAAATAGAATATGAAAGATGGTAATTTTGAGCTCGGTATCGTAAATAAATGGAGAAGGATGTTTTTCGTCTTGTCTCGAGCGAGATACAAAGAAAAAGTTCCATGAGAAATCGAACCTCAGACCTTCACATTCCTCGCGCTGATGTTCTACCTCTGAGCCATAGAGATTCTATGGTTAGCAAGGCCCATTACAAAGTTCATATAATTGGAAGACAAAATTTGACCCTATCAGGCATTTGATTGTTTCTCAATACGAACTTTCAAAACCAGACAAAAACTCTCAATTGCTGTTAAGGATATGACGTCTTTGAAGACCCTGGGGCTGACAACCGGGCGAGAGGAAACTATTATTCAATTGAGTACCGGAAGTAATCCGCAATTGCTTTGGTTATATCTAACTTTGCTCTGTGATTGGCCATTCTCTCGACCAATCAAATGCAAAACTAAAAACAATCGCGTCTTGGTCAATCGCATTTTCCCACGCTTCAAGCAGTTTGTTTGTTTTCACTTCGGGTTTTCATCAGCTCACCCGTGAGATATCGAGTTGAACACTCGAAGAGAAATTCTCTATCTACGCGCGCCATGTATTATTCTCTATTTAACAGACACACCACCCGGTACATCAGATGAGCATCTGACTGTTGTCAAAGCACTGAAAAACGTCAATCCTGATGGAGCTGTCGTGGTTACGACGCCTCAAGAGGTTGCGTTGGCAACGATCCGCAAGGAGCTGAATTTTTGCCGAAAGATGGATCTGACAGTGTTAGGCATCGTGGAAAATATGAGTGGCTTTGTTTGTCCGTACTGTCAGGTATGTTAAGTATTTAAGCTATGTCACAAACTGCTTACGCTTGCTCCTAAGGGTTTTTTTTGTCAACACAACCCTTGAGATAGTTGCCAACAATCAACCTTTACAAGGTGCTAATTATATTTATATCTTCTGTGTAGTTTGAGTTACGAAGCAGTTATGGTTTATGTTTTTTCAATGGCTTAAGAATAAACTCACTCTGTTAAAATTGTTTCCTTGTGTTTATAAACGTTCAGGAATGTTCAAACCTGTTTTCTTCTGGTGGCGCTGAAAGACTCGCAAGTGAAAATGGTCTTCGTCTCCTTGCAAAAATCCCGTTAGATCAGGTATTATATAAAAAAAAACTTATTGTAGTAATTTTTTATGATAGTGACGTTTTGTTGTTGCTGTGAATGATGATGGTGATGATAATAATAATACTGTAGTCATTGGTGTTTTTGATGTTGTTTGTCTTGTTGACTTGATGATGCCAACGATGGCGATGACCATGATGCTGAAGCTTCAACTGATACTGATTCTGTTTTAAGTTTGTGATGACCAGTCAAACCTCTATTAGGCAGCCAGCTATGTGGAATGCAAAAACCCAAAAGTCATTTTCTCTCAAAATCTGTAAAAATAGAACTTCTTTAGAGCAAGTTTCAATTGGGTGTCAAAAGTAATTCGGAATGGCTTTAGTTTTGCTTTTCCTCGCCGCGTGACTGGTCCAGATAACTCGCGCCACTTTTTTCAACCAAAACTAAAACCAATCGAGACACAGTCACTCGCGTTTTCCCGCGCTTTATATAGTTTGCTTGTTTTGAATTTTAGATCTCATTGGCTTCTTGTGACGTTTTCCTTTCTCTGATTGGTTGTCAATTAGTCTTGGTTTTACGACGCTCAGTCGTAATGCGCTATTAGTGGCACAAAATTGACTTATGTGTGAGCCGAATATGTCTGCCTCTTGGGGAGAGAGAGGTCTGGGTTTGGAAGGCTATTTCGCATACGCTTAAACGAGGAAACTATGAAGATTTATTTGTTTTCAGACCCATACTCTCTCGTAAACGGGAGCTTTTAACGTTTCACTGTGTTTTTGTAGCTTGTCAGAAACCACCATGTCGATAAATTATTTGCATGACACGCAAGTTTTTCTTACATTCGAAATACTTTTTTAAATTTTTTTTATCCTCTTCTTCATAGAACCTGTGCGTTTGTTGTGAACAAGGTTCGAACATTTTCGAATCATTTCCAGAATCACCCGCGGGAACTGCGCTACAGTCTCTGGCAGCAAAGTTAGTCAGAAAAATGAAACCGGACTGACGTCATCTTTACCAATATTTCGTCCTCTCTGGTGATTGCTGGTCGTTTACTGACGCACAAGTTTATCTAGACAAAATTGTTTTAAATCCAGTAATCTGAAATGCTCTGGGACTAAGTGTTGATATTATAGAGTTATGAGTGGCGATAAAACATGGGATATAAGATTGCAGCAAAAAAGTAACAAAAAAATCAAAATGGGGAACGCGAGTTTAGTCTCGTCACGCAATGGATAGAACGTGGTGTGACAAAACAACGAATTCCGGGTACTAAAATTTGTGAACAGCTAGTGTAAAGCGAATGTTAATATTTAATTAAAGTTTCATTTTTATGGGGATCTTAAAGATTATAGCAATATTTTAGACATGAATAATACTAAAATTATGGTTGAATAAGCAGTTTATTTATATTTTTAATTTATTTGAAAAATCCCTGTATAATGTGCGTTTGAAGATATTGTTTTATAAATTATGTATAGCCAATTGTAAGCCAGTTGTAACTCAAATATTTTACAGGATTTTATGGCCAGCACTTTCCGGACTATTTGTCAAGTAGTGCATAATTTAGGAAAATGATTGAAAACTATTTCAAGTCTAGTAATTTTTTGTTAGTGCTACTACAAATGTCCACCGTAGTCGGACCGAAGTGAGGCCATTTTTGTCAAGAAATTTCTAGAAATTTGAAAATAAAGTAATAAAAGTAGTAAAGTGAGATCTTTATATGTGATTATGTCTTTCATATCGCTGCGTAAGACTCAAGCCAACAATCGTGAGTTGCTCAGGTTAAGGATGTTTGAATTTTTTATCTCTTACGTTACTAAAGGTTGTTTTGCACGTAATTATGTTTATAGGAGGTCCACGTTCCTACAAGGCAGATGTTATGCTGGCTATTACCTGTATCTATTGTTAGAATCAGAGGTGATTTTTTATTTATTTCTCAGTTTCAAACGCGTAGTTTGAATTGATTTCAAGGAGAGTTTACCAAATCCCAGGCGCCTTTAAAATTTGAATATTGCGTGACCGAAGCACTATCCAAACATCCAATATGGCGACTGCATCAACAACAACGGTTCGTGATCTCGGTAACTTACAGCGACTTCCAAAGGAAGAGAAAACCTTCTTAACAAAGGGCCTAAAAAACAGGAGTTTGTTTCCAGCTCTGCCAGAGCCAGATGAAGATGACTGGCTGTCGTCGCACTCTGAAATGAAAGAGACGCATGATTCTTGGAGGCAAAGATTTCAATCTGTCATTTCGCCCGTCAGAGAGAGGAAGAAAAAAATATATCTTGTGCCTCTGGGAGAAAAATGGGCAACCTCTGAAGTAGAACTGGATAAAATTGGCACTAAAGAAAGCTTTTTATCGCTTCTACAACGATTTGCGAGTGTATTTTTCACCGGTTTTCAAGTTGTTGTCCTTTCGTCTGTTTCCATAGCGGAACTGAAGTGTAAGACACGATGGCATGGCGGACATAGGCAGCTATTAATTCCAGATATCTATAAATACCTCCAAAGTAAATGGCCTTCTGACGCTTTCTGCGTTGTGGGGATCACAATGATGGATTTGTACCCGAGGGAGAGCTGGAATTATGTGTTCGGACAGGCCTTACCTTCAGCTGGTGTCGGAGTGTTCAGTTTTGCAAGATACGATCCACTCTTTCACGAAAAAGATAGCACGAAAGCCTTGTCATCTAACACGAGTACCCTTGTGCTGTGGAGAAGTTGTAAGGTATATTAGGTCTTTAGCCCCTAAAATTTACTAACATCTAATTTCTCCTTCCAAAATCAGCCCTAAATCAAATATTAAGGTCACGAGAATAAAGGAAATGATCACCACCTAAAGAAACAATTGATTGTTAAATAAATTCTCCTGGTCAGCATCTTAGGAAATATGTAGAGAACAACATTGAGAATATGCATACTGATGTTAGAGTGTAAAGTGATCGGAGATGATTTCCTCCTTAACCCTTTAACTCCCATGAGTGATCAAGATACAATTTCTCCTTACAATATCAACACAATATTAATCAGGTAAGTGATGAGAATAAAGAAAGTATCAATGTGGGGATAATTAGTTGATCCAACACTAAATTCTCTGAACTAACATTCTAAGACTTGTATGGTTGACAGTAAGGAGAATTACAAATTTCATGTGGGAGTTAAAAGGTTAATCAATTTTTTTTTTAATGTCAGAATAGGAGAATTAAGACATTAAATGATGTAATGATGGGGGGGGGGGGGTGGTAGAGGGAAGGGCAGGGGACAAGAACCAGAAGGGTGTCTGGTGGGATGTTGGCAAGGAGGGTTGTATGAAGGGTTTTTATGATACTGGGTCTCCAAAGCAAAGCAAAACATTTCACCCTAGTTTTTAATTTGCATGAACACATTTAGTTGACAGCACATGAACTGTCAGCCATAGGTAGTTGCTTTTGGAGATAGGAGGTGCATTGTCTAACTTCACTATACTGGACAGAAGTCAAATTTGCTTTCAACTGGAAGTTGTTAGCTGAAATTTGGTAGGATGGGATGTGAAATTAAACAATACTAATTTAGTTTTTCACTCCCAAGATACCTCAGTATTATTAGTAATTCTCCTTACTGTCTACCATACAATTCTTATTATGTTAGTTTGGAGAATTTGGAATTGGATTAACTAATAATTCCCTAATTGATATTGAAGAAATGTAAAATGGTTTCCGTGTTTACATAGCCTGATGTAAACATGCAGGAGGTTGGGAGAACACGAGATAAGCGCAGGAAACCACAACGCGAAGCGGAGTGGTTTCCAGCTTATCAAGTGTTCTCCCAACCTCCCAAGTGTTTACATCAGGCTATGTAAACACAGAAACCATTTTACATTTCTTTTATAAAATAACTAATGAAAGAGAAACGAAAACCGTGTTTACATACGCTCATGTAAAATGGTTTTATGGCCAATTAGAGTGTGCGTACTATTTGAATTATTTTGTAATTTTCTTTATTCTCGTCACTTTTCTGTCTGATATTGTGAGGACAAAGTCTCTTTAGCTCACTCACAGGAGTTAAAGGGCAATAAAGCAGGAATAGAGTAAATATTTTTATAGGGCAGCAGTATCTCATAGGGCTAAGGGTAATTGATGCCTTTGTCTTGTTTTTATAGGTCATGGCTCATGAGATATGTCATTTGTTTGCCCTAAAACACTGTGTGTTCTTTTCATGTGCTATGAATGGAAGCAACCATCTTCAGGAGTCTAACAACCGTCCAATGTTTTCATGTCCTATCTGTCTTCACAAATTGAAATCCTGGTTTGGATTCAATATGAAAGAGAGGTATCAAGCACTGCTGGAGTTTTGTAGCTCTGTTGAAGATGAAAACTTTCAAGGAGCAACCATTTGGTTACAAAAAGCAATTAAAGAACTTTCATGAACTTTTCAGTGTATTACCATCAAAACACATAGTAATACAAGCAAACTTGCCCCTGCCCCAAGTTACCAGATTTGAAACCCCCCCCCCAAAAAAAGGATTAATAATAATTATAGCTAGGTGTCGTAAAAGTATTGCAAAGTTCTGCTCAGTGACCTTGTCACGAAAGTAAAACGAACGAACCGTCTCCGCGTCCACGGAAACAACGTGCGTGACAGCCGATCACGTGAGACCTAACAATTTTCCCATTTATCGCGCAATATTTTCATTTCATTGCGTGATAAAATTTGAAAAGTGGATAGCGTGTCCTCTGTGGGCCACCTCCCGCGTGTTTACACCAGGCTATGTAAACACGGAAACCATTTTACATTTCTTCAATCACTCACTTATTAGAGTACGCGTAGCCGTCCCCCGCCCCCTCCCGCACGCCCCGTTTCACCTTGTTGGGAAGGGTACGGCTACACGTAGGCTGCTCACTCGTCCACCTGTGAGTACAGGAGTGGCTTCGCCTTTGCCATGTTGAACCTGGGAACTATTATCAGTTTTTTCACTGGAACTTAGTCCATCCTCATTCAATGTCGACTGCAAATCGATTTCGTCGAACGGTTATCATCTTTCCTGTCTAAGTCATGGATAGTGAGGTCATTTCAGAGGAAGGCTCGGTTCAAAGCTCAAAGGGTTTAAAATTGTTTACCAAATCTTGGAAACTGAAAGACTCGAATCCACGGTGAGTTGTCACAATGGACATAATTCTTATCGATCTCATCCTCTTTTGTAGAAAAGCAACAAGTATTCGCTATTTTAATTTTTATTTTTTTGGGGTGGTGACGGATTTATGACGGCTAAGATCGGTCTTGTGAGGCTTTTATGTCAGGGTGCCATGGAAGGTAAAGCGAATTTTCTGTTTTGACTGAACTTACTCTAATACTAGACGCATATTTGCGTTCGTGCCTGTCTGGCAAATCGTGACAAACTTGAATAAAATTTATTTCCAATATTCATCATTTGTATTAGATCATTTGCAGTGCCGATCCCCTGTGTGTTATTGTAAATTAAAGAGCAAAAACTCATAGCAACACATTGTTGTCCTGCATTCTGTCCGAAAACTACTCGTTACCTTGACTATATGGAGCTGCTATGGTTTTGTTAGGGTCAACACATATTGGAGAACCAGGATTTTTTTTTAGTTGCTACAATTTGCTACATGAGCCTCACTCTTACTAGAACACATTAGTTTGTTACAAGAAAACAATGTTAAATATCGACTGGCACGATATTTCATCTTTCTTATACTTTGATGAATTCTTTCACAACAGTTAAACTTAAACGTTCTTTTTATTTAATAGTTTTTTAGCATTTACCTAACAGTACAATGTAGATGACATAAGTATACATGAAAGAATAATTGCATAGACAAATTCTCTAATCTTCCTGCTCTTAAGCTTGTTCCTTAAACTATTCAAACTTTGTATTGGTATTCTGTTTGGTTATGATCACGTCTACATACACGATGAGATTTGCATTTATGCTTCTCTCGATTAACATTGGATAGCTCAGTTGATATAGCATATTTCTTGATGAAAGGTTTACTCCACAGGCTGCCCAAGCTCCAGCTGTGAGATGATCATCATGTGAACTAAGAGTTGTGGCAAAATTATGAGAGTTTGCATGGGAAAAGTTACGACTGCTTTTTGGAATACAAAAATACAGTCAAATTCTCAATGGAAATACCTCATCTTGCTTCCACAGTGCATTGCTTTTTATCTGACCACTTACTATGTTGAAAGAACCCATTTTAGCAAGTTATCCATTTCTAGGTGTACTTTGTAGTAAACCTAGAAATGTTTAACTCACTAAAATGGGTTCTTTTCAACTGTATTTTTGTATTCCTAAAAGCAGTCATAAATTTTCCCATACAAACTCTTATAATTTTGCCATGACTCTTATTTCGTAAGATGATCATCTCACAGCTGGAGCTTGGGCCACCTGTGTTCACTCATAAATGTTGACTCATAGAGAGGTCTCTAATAAGGTTCACGGACTGACCCATTCTGAAAACAGTCGACATCTTTTAGTGTGGTCTACCACAAATGCTCTGTGCGTTTTGAGCATATTATACACAGTATCTGTGCTGATTTTGCATTGCAAAGATCTCTCTTTTTCTGTCATTGCATCATGCCATGTGCTCATTAGTCAAAACATCACACATGCATCAGGGTCAAAATGTCACACGTGTGTTAAGAACTTGACTGCGATTTGCAACTGAGGTTTCCTTTGGAAAGCCCAAGGAACAAGAGGAATGGGTGTGTCTTCAAGGGTCAATGAAGGTACACCCATTGTAAAGGGATTGGATAATATAGGCAATCTATCCATCCATGAACAAGGTCTACCACTGAAATTTTTTTTTTTGTATCAGGGTGCCTTTGGTAACTGAATCGCTGGAAAGTTTGAGTAAGGATATGAGTTGGATGGTATTGCATTCAGCTCTTCGTCGGCATACCTCCAGAAAATATCTAAACCAGCCACAAGATTGATTGTAGTGATGATTTTTTTTTGCTTTTGTTAGTGCATTGATATTTGTGAGCCATGGAGTTGGTGAGCATTGTTCCAGATATGAAGAATTTGGAAGTGTTTTAGCTAGACAAGGCTTCCTTGTTGTTTCCCACGATCATGGTAAATTTTTCAAATATTTGCAAAGAATGAATTGCCCCCTCTTGTTTATATGTTCCTGGGAGGGGGGGGGGAAGGGAAGGTTTGCTTTGGTCATTTTTTTGCTGGGTATGTCCCACTGGCCTCTCAGAACCCCTACCCCACTATAGTCTATTCTTTGGCCAATTAAAGAGCCCATCTAAGACCCTTTTGCTAATACAGTAATAACTTTTTAACTGCAAATCTTCCCATTTTTACATCCCTGCCTACCAAAATTCTCTTACCTACAAAATCCAGAAAAATGTGCAACCCCATTCTAGAAACTCTATGCAAGCGTATTATAGTCAATCCAGTCTTGAAAATGCCACCTTTTCCAGCAAAACATACCTATTAGCCAATTACTAGGAAGTATCCTCTCCCCCCCCCGGGGTCAGTTGTAAGAAATTCAACAATTACTTTAGTGTCAGCATGAATGGCAAAATATGAGATTTAATTAATTTTAATTATAATAGAGATGAGATTGTTTTGTATGCCCATCACTTGGCTACATTGCTATGGACAGGAGAGAGATTTACTTGACTCATTCCTACTGTGCAGAGTACTTCAGCATGAAAGTTTTGTTTTATTTATAGTGGGTCATGGAAGGAGTGAAGGTGAACCAGTGCAAATCTCGTCCTTTGATATTTATGCTGCTGATGTGTTGAAGCACATGGATGAGAAGCTTGTAAACCATGGTGGTCTGCCAATATTTCTGTTTGGTCATTCAATGGCAAGTTTTCATCCACCACTGTTTAATTGAAAGTCTAGTTTAGAGGTGATTAGGTGGAGGAGGAAGGAGATGGGGAATTTTTTAGTTATAGAAGAAGTCTTCTCTAAAAACATCATTTTTTCTGGCCATGAAAAAAAATATATTGGTCTATACCACCCCAAGTGAATAGTGCTTTTATTGCATGCTGATTGGCTGGTTGGGAAGTGAATAGCAAGTAATATTCACCTGCAAGCAACCAATGAGGCAAAATTGTGCATCAAGAGTTTGATTTCCAACCATTTTTTGGTACACTGAAAGAAATAAACTCATCTTTTGTTATCTGTGTGGTATATACTAAAACAATTATTTACCTCAGTGTTGGTAAAAGTGGTGGATATTTACCTTGCTGCTTCAGGGCTCGGTAAATATCCACTGCTATCCACCTCCACTTTGATGAATAATTGTTTACTATGAAGTTGTGAAGCTGACCTTGTTTTGAGACTCCAAGCATTATTGATTCTGGTCAAAATTTGTCCTTCAGTATCAAATATATTTTGCAATGTGAGACTGTTTATTCAAATTATATTTTGCGTGGTTTATTCTCACACAGGTTCATCACAGTGTCATGGCTTTGATTCTTAATTTGAAACTGTCCTGATTAGAGATACCATTCATTTTGTTATTAGTGGAGATTGTTACTAAATTAATTTAGAATTGATTTTTTTTTTCTTGACCTCTTTGTGCAGGGAGGAACAGTTGCAATCCTTTGTGCCATGGAAAGGCCGCACTTCTTCACTGGAGTTGTACTCAGTGCTCCAGCCATTATGGCCAATCCTGAAACTGCCTCACGTGGAATGGTAAATCAAGGAGGGCATCATATATAAGAGCTTATAGATATGACGTTATTTCATTTCCAGTTCCAGTCAGCCACTTATTCATTTGTCATACCACATGAATGGTGGCCTAACCGTCAGTCATAGCCTTTCTTCCCCCCCCCCCTCCCTTCCTTAGGAGTTTTAATGAGTACTTCTGAACTGTCAGGGAAGCATGACAAAATGTTGGGGAGAGGGGAGGGTAGCCAGTACTGGATCAACATCCCATCCAGGGAGGGACTGAAATACTCCTAGTGGCTTCATGCTATAGAAATTGGGATAAGTTCAAACTGAAAAGACTGCTAATGGGATTGAGTACAGATTGTGTAATTAAGGTAACATTTTACAACATTCCCATGTAATGAAAGCCTTTAGGTAAACCTTAACTCTAACAACATGATTTCTTGATTTTACAGATATTTTTAGGTAGAATAGTGTCACGCATTGTACCTTCATTTCAAGTGATTGGATCTGAAAACTCCTCCCTTCTCAGTCGAGACCCTGAACAGGTATTGATCTTTGTAAACTATTTTAAGGAAGTACCTTTAGCCAAAAAAAAGACAAAAAAACCCTCTTTGAGTGATGCTAAAACACCTTTTTTGGTAGCAATATGATGTTTTTGTTCCTGAAGAGAGAACTGCAAAAAATTTGGTCCAAGCTGAAATTTTTTGTCGTCTCGAACCGCAGAAATTTGTTTCTGCTTTTAAAATTGCAAAATATCGCCTTTAGTTGAATGGAACTTCCGCAGAGTTATCATGCAACTCCGTAAGAGTTTGATTTGCTTGTGAATGGATGAAATCTAATTTTATTTTATAACCTACTCAAAATATGACTGCATGGTTTAAGATTAACACTGCTTGTTTTTCTCTAACATTTTTGTGTTTGGTTTTTTTTCTGTTTTAAGGTTGCCATCTTGACTAATGATCCTTTAGCATGGAAGGGAGGCTTGAAGGCCAGGTGGGCGATGGCCATACATGATGCCATGGAACACATCAAAGAAAACCTGGCTAAGATTGAATGGCCGTTTTTAGTGCTTCACGGTGATGCTGACCAGCTAACGATGGTTGACGGTTCCGTGATGCTAGAAGAGAAGGCAGCAAGTCAAGATAAAACCATTAAGGTGACTTTTCTTGGCTGCCTAACTTACCTTGTGATATAGTGAAAATCGGCGCAGTTTGCGTCGATTAATTCGAAGCTTCAACATCCCCCCGGATATTTGAACTTTTTGAAGATTGGTGTGGTTAAATTTTCCCAAATGTCCCACCCAAAATTGAACGATTCTTTGTGTGGTCAACGAATGTTGGAGAATTTAGCGAAGTCAGTAAGTTTTTGGTGATGCTAAGGGGTTTTTTTGCTCGTAAACATCATTTTAGGATGTGAAATTTGTCTTCTGAGGTATTCGCTCACAAAAGCAGACTCTTTTCGGCAAGACTTCAACGAACCCATGTTAGCTATTATCGTGAATAAAGAAAAATAAAGCTTTTAATTAACGTTTACATCAAAATATCAAGAAATTCAGGTAGTAACCTTTGACATTTAGTTAGCAACTTTTTGGATATTTGGCAATTTTATAACGACAGTTTGGCATTCCAGTGGGCAACTTTCCAGTATTTTTCGAGCACAATCAGAAAAGACCCACCCCTCTCCAACCCACTCCCCACTCCCCACACCTCACATCCCACATCCCAATCCCCGCTCCCTGCTCCCACGCTCGCCTTATGAAAGGGACGGTTTCTCTTGTTATAAGCAAAACCAACTCCAAGACGGGGAAATTTTTCTTTTGCTTTTCTTTCTATTTTTACGTGCAGTTACCAGTCAGCTAATGCTATTATTTGGAGGTTTTTTATCAGTATTGTTCAATTTTTTTTCCGGCAGATTTATCCAGGCTTTTACCACAAACTTCTAAACGAGCCCAAAGAAGATGCGACTTTGGTGATGAATGATATAATTTCGTGGATAAACCAGAGACTTCCATCTTGAAATACTGACTAAATTCTTTCACTCCTCTTGGATATCATTGAAAGAGATTATTTTAGGTACCTCTGGATCATTTATCAATCAACCGTAGTGGCATACAGACCTCTGTGTTCAAAACAGCTTGAGCTGCAGCAGGTCCAAAGCGAGTCAACAGCAGGCGGATTTCTTATAAGCTCTGACAAGTTTCTACCTCACAATGGATGAATTTGCTGAGATTTACATCTCCTTTCTCCAATCGAAACTGTCTTCATTTGTGGCAGTAACTGAATCTCGAAATGATTCGCTCCGCTATTGCGTATTATTACCACGCCGTAATTTGCATTTGAGCTGAAACCAAGGAGCGGAGCCAACCCATTTATAGCGTTCCTTCGTGTTTAAGAGGTTTCCCAGTTTCCATGCCTGCTGTGTCGTGTGGGTGTTTCAAGAGAAGTGATTAATATGCAACCTCTCTCCATAAAATAAATTTATTATTCGAAAGGTAACGAGAATGCTCTAACCTATCAGGTTGAAGTTTTTATCTTGATCTAACACCAAATTGTCGTTTGGGAGGTCTTGGCTGATGGAGGGGTAGAATTCTTCGATGTCAAAGCGAATAAAACTGTGGTGTTGTTTGTTCTTAATGGGCTTTAAACCACTCGATCACAGATCAAATCTCTTTTTTTTTCCCTATCTCACTATATACATACATACATACATACATATATAAATATTTATAAATAAATATAAATATTTATATAAATAAAATAAATATATATATATATATATATATATATATATATATGTATATGTATATATGTACATGAATATTAAGAGAGGGAAAAAGGGACGCAATATAATAATATTAATTCCGCTCAGCTTCAACGTATTGAGCACTGTTCCACGCGAAAATCGACTTGCAGACTCCCTCTATATATATATACATAAGTCAAAGAATTAAAGAGGATGCATCTATTCTCTGTGACTCTGAGTTTCGCGCCTAATCGCTCGTCAGACAGAACTTTTTTTTACAAAGGTTTTTTTTTCCGTCATCATTTTTACTTTCAATGTAGCAGGTTTTTTTTTTTAGCCTTTGGAAAGGATAGAACAATAAAATAAAACGAAATAAATGTAAAAATGAGAGTGGTATAGTTTTTTTTAATCAGAATGAAAAGTTGGGAGAAAATGCTACAGACCGAGTTGTGGAAAGTGTTAAACTTACAATATCTCAGTACTGGGCATGAGATCAGTCCTTTAAATTTAAGCAATGAATATGTGCGATTTCAAATTGCATGTTATGACTTGGCAATTTAAATTTGTGACTAACTTTGGACTGATCGCATCAGGCAAAAAATAATTGCAAAAGCTGCAGAAATGTCAACCCCTTATTGCCTACAGGGTCACTTTTAGCTAAGAATAAACTCGTGAACAGCAGGTTGTTAGTAAGACCATCTCCACTTTATTTCAATGATGCGAGGGATTTTATCGTAATAGTTAGGTCAGCGGTAAAAAGGGATTATGCTTAATTAAAGACCTCACGAACATGATTGGGATACACTCGTACTTTGGTTCTAAACTTAGATGCAAACTCATCCAAATTTCTTCTGCGACCTTTGAGAAATGAAATAGGGCTGTTGCTATTTTGTTAATTCAAACAGTTGCGCAGTTTTGTTATGTTTGGCTGGCAATAAATTTACTTGACCAGCCTCGCGTGGAATCGTCTTAAGTTATGTTCGATAATTATGTGCATATGTTAAGATATCACGTGTGGCAACATCTCCATCAAATCATATTAACGAGACATGAGCACGTGAACAGAAGACAGATTAAACTGATATGAGACATGTAACTCTGTAAATCACTTCAGCTATTTCTCTCTTGTGCCAAGCAACCCTTTTACTCGCAATAAGTCATTTATAATTCTCCTTACTTTCAGCCATACAATTCTTATGATATTCTTTGGAGAATCTGGTATTCGATCAACTAATAATCCCCTAATTGATATTTTTATTTATTCTCATCTCTTGTCCGCTTGATGTTGTATTGATATTGTAAGGAGAAATTCTGTCTTGGTCACTCGCGGGAGTTAAAGAATTAATAAAGAATGTGGAAGGGCAGGTTTTTCCTTAGATTGTCATGTTCAAGTAAAATCTACATCGCAGACCTGGCCTGCATTCAATTTTTAACATTTTCTGTTAAAAACGAAAAAAATGTCTCCCAAATTTTAACATTTTAACTTTCCACTTGAATCAACCTCGACAATTAAGAATCTATTGCTTTAACAATAAAAAATTTTTAAATTCCCCTTTTCTCTGCGTGTACAAATTCCAATCCAGAAATATCTCTTTTTGCGCCTCACGATTACTCCATCCAACATATGTTTTCGAGTTATTTAGTCACGCAGAATTTGTCACGCCATCTCTTTAACATTGTGTGACGAAGAAACACGAATCAGTCGGTTCGTATTTCCGCGCGAACGAGATCACCAATCGCTACCTTGGGCGTACTGTGTTCCCATTGGTCGAGAGACAATGCACTGAGGTATAAACACTTCGGTAGAACGTTCATTTTACCTGATCTTGTCGAAGTGTTACGATGAACGAAGTTTTAGGAAGTTTTTTAGCTTTTACCGTTTTCTGTACAGAACTAAGGATAAGCTTAGGCACACAGAATCGCTGTAGTAGAGTTTCTAGTGGCAAATATCGGCACTTCTCGGAGAATGAACGAATTAAATTAAGAGAAAAAGCTAAAGAGATGTTTTACTTTGGGTATGACAATTACATGAATTTTGCTTTTCCTAAAGACGAACTCGATCCGATTCATTGCACAGGAAGAGGACCGGATCATGACAATCCGTGAGTGTGTCTCGTTAATTGTTACTACCACGCCAGTTGTGTTTACTAAGGATGTATGACGTTTACCACCGATCTTACCTGAAATTCAAATTATCCCCTTTAATCAAGTTGTACGAAATCTGTCTTTAAATGGACCCATGTATATGAACATGGTTTCTTTGTAAGAGGAGTTCCTTACAATGTATTCAACGAAGAAACTCATTTTATTGAAGGATCGAAGGTCACAGATAAGTTGTACTCGCAAGTTTGTCTTTGGTACCTCAGAGGTGGTTGATCGATCATTCAGTGGTTTTCGTTACAGCTGTGGCCATATTCATAAACGGAATACTAAAACCCTGAGACATTTGCACTGAATACAATGAAATTTCATCATATACTACGCATTAGCTTTATTACTGAAGCGCTTTGTGTTATGTTGCTTTGATGCTTTGTTATTAATCGGGAAACAAAAGTTATTGTGCCTATTGTGTAATATTTTACGTGAGCAATTCCTTCCTACCAGCAAAATGTTGAATTTCATTATAATAATGTTATTTTCTCTCCTTGTTCAGGTCAAATATTAACATCAATGATGTTTTAGGAGATTATTCACTGGGATTGTTAGAATCTCTTGGCACATTGGCAGTAAGTAAAGACAATGAAACTGGATTTGTGCCAGAATGTTGTCACACAAATATATTCTTACTAAGTTCTACACTTGTAAGTTGTAAAATTAGCAACTAGGAATGGTGATAGGACTGAGTAGAGTATAATTTTGGGAGTAGTCAGGCAAATGATTTCAAATGGACAAAGTCAGTAGCAGGAAGCTGATTTAAGGTTGCAAGTATGATAACTCTGAATTGATAGGCATAAAGTCCGATTACCATTTAATTGTGTCAATAATAAAATGCGAGAACTCAGGAATGAAAAATTTTATGTCAGAGCACATGTGCATCATATTGACATATGTTTGTTTTTAATGTGGAACTCTTCACCTGCTCACATAACAAGTTTACTTTGTTTTGATAGGCTAGCACTGAATTCATGGTTGAGTTTTATTGGCTGATGGCTGAAAGGGGTTAATTTTAATTGGCTGCTTAGCCTGTGTAATTACTAGTCTTTGTAGTTGAACAGGTGATATATGACAATTTGGAGTCATTTTTTATTTGTAACTTTTTTTCATAGATAATGGGCAACAGCAGTGAATTCAAGAGAGCTGTACAGCTTGTGATTGATTCTGTAACATTTGAGAAGAATAATACAGTCCAAGTTTTTGAAGCCACAATAAGGTAATTTCAGGAGTAATGATAAACCAACCCTTTCACTCTCAAGATCTAATTAGTAATTCTCCTTACTATCTGCCATACAATTCTTATGATGTTAGTTCAGAGAATTTGTCATTGGATCAACTAATGATCCCATAATTGATATTCTTCTCTATTCTCATCACCTGCCTGCTTGATATTGTATTGATATTGTAAGGAGAAATTCTGTCTTGGTCACTTGTGGGAGTCAGAAAGGGTTAAGGGTTTGAGTATCTTTAATAACCCTTTCACTCCCAATATCTAAATGTTAAATTCTGAACATTGTATGCATTTCTACCATGCATTTGTTATGATTTAGGAACAAGACAAAAAAGTGTCTTTCTTGATGATCACTTCTATATACTTAATCTACATCTTGTATCAAGTAAAGTAATTTTAGCTGCAATCTTAGCTGCAGTCCTAGAAATTGCAGAAAAGGAGCCTGAAAAAAAATTAGGCCTCAAACCCTTGCCTTCCAAGGCACTTAACCTTTTGACTCCCATGAGTGACCAAGACAGAATTTCTCCTTACAATATCAATACAATATCAACAAGATGAGTGACAAGAATAAAGAAAAATATCAATTTGGGGATAATTAGTTGATCCAATACTACATTCTCTGAACTAACATTATAAGAATTTTATGGTTAACAGTAAGGAGAATAACAAATTTGATCAGGGAGTTAAAGGGTTAACTACCAACTGAGCTACAAAGCCACTTGCAGAGAGCATGGCACATTTTTAGAAGGTTCTTCTTTCTGTGGAGGAATATGGTCACATTAGTTTTCAATGTAAAAAATTTGGACTTGCGGATGACAAACATGTAAAGCAGTGCTCCTCTGGGTGAGCTGAAATATCTATATCTCAGTGGTACTTCTTGCAAAGGGATCAATATTTTGTATTTCTTTGGTTTATTTTTTACATTTTTTTTCTATAGAGTTCTGGGATCATTGCTATCTGCACACCTGATTATAAAAGATCCTCTTCAACCTTTTGGTGATATGGTGCCGTTAGACTATGATAATGAATTATTACTTCTAGCTCATGACATAGCAAATAGGCTGATGGCTGCATTTGAAACAGCCACAAAAATTCCATATCCTAGGGTAAGTAGATGTGATTACCACTCAAACCTTATTACACCCTAACATCAGTATGCATATTCTCCATACTGTTCTCTATACATTTCCCAAGGTGCTGATAAGGAGAATTTGTTTAACAAGTCAGAGCTTCTCTAGTTGATGATAATTTTCTTTATTTGTGCAACCTTAATGTGCTATTCAGGTTTTTTTTTCCGGGAGGAGAAATTAGATGCTAGTCACTCTTGGAGTCAAAGACTTGTTAACTTGAATTTAGGGAACATTTGATACAATTCATTCTGTTTGCTCTGATTAGCTGTTGTCAATAATAAACTCACTTTTGGTTTAATTAATATATAATACTTAATCAAAAACTACTCAGATAAAAGCTCATTAGAATACATTGAAGGCTTTAACCCTTTAACTCCCAGAAGTGATTGAAATGTTACTATATAAATATATAAAATCCATACATTATTCAGCAAACAGGTAATGAGAATATTCAAATTTATCAGATTGAAGTTGTTATCTTGATCGAACACCAAATTCTTGTAACTAACTTACAAGGAAATAAATAGTAGCCAGATAGGAGAATTGACAATTAGATCTTTAGACTTAAATTGCTAAAAAGAAGTCAGATCCATTACATTTGTTATAAACCCAAAGGTGAGAATGCCCTGATATAACATTGGTTATGTTTCCTTTTTTTTTGTACAGGTAAATTTAGTTGATGGTCTGCCGTCAATTTTATATAATGAAACTTGTACAGCAGGAGCTGGTACTATTATATTAGAGTTTGGAATTCTCAGCAGACTACTGGGTGATCCAGTTTTTGAAAATTTTGCACGCAAAGCAGTGGAGGCTCTCTGGAAGCGCAGGTCATTAGAGACTGGGCTGCTTGGTGAGTTTACTCTTTACACCCTAACATCAGTATGCATTTTCTCCATACTGTTCCCTATATGTTTCCTTAGGTGCTGACAAGGAGAATTTGTTGAAAAATCAAGAGCTTCCTTAGTTGGTGATCATTTCCTTTATTCTTGTGACACTAATGTGTGTTTCTGGGGTGATATTGTAAGGAGAAATTAGATGCTGGTCACTTAGGGGTCAAAGGGATAATTCATGTTAACCATTTAACTCCCAAGATATGATTGTAAATTCTCCTCTTCAGCTGCTGCACGTTTACTTGTGAATAAGCAATGAGAATTTGGTGTTAGATCAAGACTACCAACTTCTATCAGATAAGTTGGAGTGTTCTCATTACCTGTTTGCTGGATAATGTCCAGATATTATAAGGAGAAGTTATTTGTGAATCAATTCTGGGAGTTAATAGAGGGCTTATTAACCTCTTCACTCCCAGGAGTGATCAAAAATGAATTGAACAGTTTGTAAACAATTTTAATCCACTCAACTTCGGCTCATGGTTTATAAACTTTTCGTGTGTTCTCTGAACATCCCATGTGGATTATAATGCCAGTAAACTGATGAAAAGAGCATCTTATTGCTAAAATATGATAGGTGAGGTTTCAAACTTCTTTTTCATGTGTGATTGCTTTATAGGAAATGCTATTAATGTGGTGACTGGAGAATGGACAGGAAAAATGAGTGGATTAGGTGCTGGCTTAGATTCTTTTTATGAATATCTTTTAAAGGTAAGAACCCAACTCAAAATGATGATATTCTCAGCAAATTAGATTGGAACTGGCTATCAGCTGGTGGAGGTTTAGGTATGCATGCTCTAAGGATATTTGTCCTGTGAATATGTCAAAAGGTAAGAAGCTTCAAGTCATGTGAAAAATTGATTGCACAAAAATTAATTTGTTTCCTTGTTTATAGACACCTAATACTTATTTTGAGCATCTTGAAACTTGACCTGAACATTTCATAACTCAACTCAAACCCCCATCTTTGATGTTTTGAGAATTGAGGATCACAAATCGAGTTTTAAGGATTGAATTTGTAAGGGACTCTCAACTTACTTTTTGGCAGTATTGTCTACAGGGAAAAAAACTTTGGTTTATCTGCAAGGAAAAAGGGGAAAGACATGTGAATTTATGAATGCATAGTAGGGAACTGTGTACTGAAAAGATGGGGTCTTTGAAACAGAAATATGACCTTTGAATAACATTAATCAATTAACATCCTCATATTGAACTGAATAGGCAGCATGTATTTATGTTAAAATATTAGCCCTTCACTTGGAATCCCTTTCATTTTGCCTTTAATGAGTGTGGATAAACTTAACTTGTTTTACCAGGTTTGTGGAGAAAGCAACAGAGTGTGACTAATTGAGGGAGTGGGAAAGGGGGGGGGTCAGCCAATGAAAAAAGGTCACCATACAGTAGAGGGTCAGGAAGCTTTTAAGCATGGGCTTTCTCTATTGGCACTACCCCTATCCCTCTGAATAATGAATGATCGTTGCTCAGTTAAATGTCGATACCTCTAACAGAAGAACTCTTCTGAGTTTGAGTTTGAGTTTGAGTTTGAGTTTGAGCTTGAGCTTCACCCTCCCACCAGACAATTCCAGTTTACCTTCATTTTCAAAATATTTTAGCTCTGGATGGAAGAGTATAATTTTTTTCTTAATTAACAAAGTGTATTTTCTGTTTACTGCACGAGCAAGCCAGATTCCAAGGAATTTTGAAACTTTTTATATCTCCTGATGGACACCCATCTTAATTTTTTTTTATTTTAGAGTGTTTTCAGAACTCTTGCTGCCTTGATTTTCGTCCATGTATAGAACTTATATCTAAATTTTATTCCTGAATCATTTTTTTACAGGGTTATATTATGTTTGGGGAGACAGAGGATCTAAAAAGATTCAATGATATCTACAAAGCCATAAACAGATATCTTCGAAAAGGGTAAGGTAGTGTCTATGAAACAGAGAAAATCTCCTACAGCAGAAGGGAAAAGCTAACTTATACATAAAGCTGCATGCTGAAATTGAGGGTCTATAGTAAGGTTTTTTTTCAAGATCCGGAACTCGGTTCTTTCAAAATCTGGGATGCGTGTTGTTAACATTTATAGGGTTAAGGTGAGCGAGATTCAAGATTTTGAGTAAAAACTGGCGAGACGATGGATTTAGGAACTCGACATGGCGGAAATTGGAAGATATCGTTTAAAGGAACCGCGAGATCCAGGAAAGGCCGGTTGCTGACAGAATTTTTAACGCGGAAAGTCAAGGTGTCATCTTCAGACATCGGAAATGCCTTGCTTTTGCAAGTCTTACGGATGCTCATTTCTCACCTAGCGGTTGTAAAGCATCAGCCCTCAAAATTTTAACGAGTATGTCCTTGAGCATTGTATCCAGCTTGTTTGGAATGACAGGAGGGGTTAAATTCACATTCATTTGGAGTAAACTGTTACATCTATTTTTCCCCATGTTGGTTATTCCACAGGTTAGCCCAAGCTCCCGCAGTAAGCCTCCGTAAATGTGTAAATTTTTTTACGTTGCGTAATGGGTGAACGGCAAGGATATGTATGGGAATGAACGGTCGCACTCTTAACCTGAAAAATTCTAAACTAAGTTTGAATAATATCCCATTGCGCAACGTAAACATACTTGCATACTTACGAGGGTTCATTGGGCGAGCTTGGGTTACCTGTAAGTAAGTAAGTAAGTAATCTATACACATAAGCACCGAAGAGTCAACAAAACTCGTTCGAACGTGTAGGTGTGGAAAAAATATTACGAAAACCTCAGTGAAAAACTGTAACTACTTAAGATGCAATACCTGTTACATAAACAATACATCATTATATAAAAATCTACTATTTAAAAAGAGCTAAAAATTTGACATGAAAATTTAGAAAAGTCAAACACTCTGAAAGCAAAGAATAAAATAGATCTGTGAAAAATAATGATGATAATGATGTGATTATTCTATTGAGTATTGAGCAATAATTTTTGCTCTGTTTTATTTTTCCTACAGTCGACTTAAATGCAACGAAGGTAATGGTTCGACACCCTTGTATGTGAATGTGCACATGAACTCCGGCCAAACAGCTAACCTGTGGGTAGATGCTCTGTCAGCCTCGTTTGCAGGAGTACAGGTAACAATCGTAGATTTTTTAATCAATTAGTACTTAAATCCTGTGGTGGGTTGGTAGCAAATTATACGATTCACAGGGTTTATTCCAGAGTGCAGCTTTGCGGGATTACCGCAATTCGAAAAAAAGGCTCTTAAAACGCATGTTATATAGACAGTATCTTTATTTATCGCCTTGGGAGGGGGTTTGAAGGTTTTTGGTGGGGATCATATGGTTTTTAGGGGAGGACGGAGGGAGGGGGGGTTCAATCGTTGTGAAAAGAGTTTAGAGGGGGGACTAAAGAGAATTCACCACCAATCGGGGGGGGGGAGGGGGAGGGGGGAGGCGTATTACTGTGACACAACGGAACTTTATGGGAGATCTTGGATACATTCGCGCGAGAGCAGAATATGAGGTAAGGGCAATTATTTGTTGGTTACATTGTCGTGTGTTAGTCAGTAAGAAAGGAGAAAAACGGGATCAATATCAGTATCTGGGCAACTGCCCACCTACCCCTCCCCTAACTCAACAACAGTCAATTGATAACAAGTTAGAGTTAATGTTGGGTTAGGGGAGAGGTAGGTGGGCAGTTTCCCAGATACTGATACTGATCCGAAAAATGTACTGAATGATAATAAAACATTTTTTACTTTCGTCGACTCAGGTGCTTAAAGGGGACATCAGGGAAGCCATTTGTACGCATGCTCTGTATTATGCGATCTGGAAAAAGTACGAGGCTATGCCGGAGAGATTCAACTGGCAAACTAAACAGTCAGAGGTTCACTTCTCTCCATTACGACCAGAGCTGATTGAATCAACTTACCTTTTACATCAGGTGAGATGCTTGATAAATAGGAGATCTAGGAGACGTGGTGGCCTCATGGTTAGCGCGCTGGACTTCGGCTGGAGAGGTCTGGGTCCGAGCCCTGGCCGAGTTGTATTGTGGATTTGGGCAAATTATTTTACTCTCGCCGTGTCTCTTTCCACCCAGGAATGTATTGCATACCTGATCAATTTGTCTATTTGTCACAGGCCACCCATCACCCGTTCTACCTCCACGTTGGCAGAGAAATTATGAGGGACATAGAAAAACACAGCAAAGCAAGGTTCGTGTGTGTGATGTTATTGGTGTTTGTTTGTTCGTTTGTTTGGTTTCGTCATGATCACCTGAGTGAGGATCAGTTTTCGGCTGAAATTGGCAAGTTTTGAGGGACGAAAGTGTGGTGTTGAAAAGATATTTTAAATTACTGTTGAGGGAAATATTGCAGCAATAATTAACAAATAGTCATCGAAGTGGAGGAGAATAGAGGTGGATATTTCACCGCATTGTTTTAGTATATACCGCATAGTTACTTTTGATAATTGGTGTATTTCTTTCAATATCCCGAAAAATGGTCGAAAATTTAACTCTTCACGCCATTTTGTCCCATCGGCCACTTGGAGGTGAATAATACTTGCTATTCACTTCCGAACCAGCCAATCAGCGCGCGCGAAAAGCTCTATTCGTGTGGTACATACGGACAAACTTTTTACTCTTTTTTATGCCGTTAAGCTATGATTGATTTTGACTGCCTTTTGATGCACTTTGCCATTTTCAATTGAAGTTTTGTTTGGTTTCAGATGTGGTTACGCTACCTTACATGATGTGAATGACAAAACTCAAGAAGATAGGATGGAGAGCTTCTTCTTGAGTGAAACGTGCAAATATCTTTATCTCGTAAGTACTGAAGTATTTGTAACTGATTACCACTTGCGAGTGTACAAGAAATGAAAATGTAGAAATGAAATGATAATCTTGAAAGCTCACCAAGAACTCGTTCTTTCACTGGATCAATCTAAAGAAGCGTGGCCGTAACGAGTCAAGCCACTTTGCCTTAGTGTCAAATGTAATTCAGGAGTAGATTGGCTTTGCTTTGCCTCGTGCTGTGATTGGTCTTCAATCCTTGCACCACCTTCACAACCAATCGGATGCAAGCAAAGCCATGCGCGTTTTCCCGCGCTTTGTCTAGTTTACTTGTAGGTAATTTAGTGTTAACAACTGGGTTGAAAACGTAAATTAGCCACCGTAAACGGTAAAAAAGCTGACGTTTCGAGCGTTAGCCCTTCGTCAGAGCGATTGACGAAGGGCTAACGCTCGAAACGTCAGCTTTTTTACCCTTTACGGTGACTAATTTACGTCAGAGCGATTGACGAAGGGCTAACGCTCGAAACGTCAGCTTTTTTACCCTTTACGGTGGCTAATTTACGTTTTCAACCCAGTTGTTAACACTAAATTACCTGCTATATTCTCCCACCGACGCAGCACCACAGTTTCTTTAGAAACTTACTGCTTTACTAGTTTACTTGTACTCACTTCGTGTTCTTACTTTTGCTCTGATTGGCCGCAGTGATAAGTTTGGTCACGGTTTCATAGCACGTGACCCAAAGCCCCCAAGCGACTGATTGTTTCTTTTTTTTTTCACAGCTATTCGATGAAAACAACCATCTCAACCAGGACGCTTCAAACTACATTTTTAGCACAGAAGGACATGTCTTTAGAATCGACTCTCGGTTTAGGAAAAGGCCATGGGATGAAGAATCAAAAATGTTTGCACAGAGGACAACGAAAAGAACTTTCAACACCCAGTCCTCAGGGGGTTATAATGACAGTATTGGGGTAGGTGCCCTTGAGTAGGCCTTGAGATTTTGTTGTTTAGTTTGTTGTTTGGTATTCTTTGTGTCAAGTATACAAAGTTCCAACACGTTGATTTGTTTGTTTGTTTTTTTTTTTATTTACTTATTTTGCTCGCTTTCGTTCATTTGTTCGTTTTTCTCTGTGTCCTTTTGTCCGTGCATTGGATCTGTAACTCGTTTTTTATCTCGCTTCTTGGTTCGGTCAGTGGGAATTTTGTTTGTTTGTTCCTTCAATACACAATTCCCTCGGTTGTTCGTTTGTTCAGTCGGTCGGTCGGTCAGTCGGTTGCTCGGTAGGTCGGTCGGGCGGTCGGTCGCTGATTCGGTCTGTCGTTTTGTTAGTCGGTCGGGCGGTCGGTTCGTCGGTCTCTCGGTGGGTCAGTTTGCCGTTCGCTCAGGTGATCGTTCGGTTGGTCGTGCTTTTAGGAGTTCGTTTCTTTGTTCGGTGATCTTCCAAGTGTTTGTTCGTTTCTTTGTTCCTCTTCATTTCCCCTTTGAGTTCATTCCTTTGTTTTTTGTTGTTTTGTTCTGTCTTTGTTTGTTTGTCTGACTTTCTTTTTTTTAATCGCTGAATGTTTGGTTACCTCTTGGAACCAATCAATCAGCGAAACGCAGCGAGCGAACCATGGAGCGTACACGCGAAGCCTTCTTGTACGTGTTTTGTTGTTCGTTCGTTCTGTCTGTTCTGTTCTTATCAATGATACTTTCATCGGTCTCTATCTATTTATTTCTCAGTGCGTCAGCTTTTGTAGTGACCTGAATAGTCCTCTACCAATGGACATTCGATACTGGAAAGAAGTAGAAGCAGCAGTTGGTGTATGATAGCTGTGCCAATTACGCTGGGAATAAACAACAAACAGCTAATCGCGGCACAAGTTCCTTCACATTGTGACTGCTACATGGTACAACTGGAAAATCATTCAACTTCCCGGAATTTCCTTCACACTACTACTAAGTAGTACTCAAACAGACGAATAAAACTACAAGACGTTTGAGTCAAAGGGTTTTCTGAGAACTTGCAACTTGGGGATTTCTTCTCAAGCAACTATGGACCATTGCGTTTTCTGGCTTGAGGCTTAGCGCATATTTTATGGACTAATCCAACACCTGGTTGCTGCGTCAGAGAGATGATCACTTGTCTCCATGTACACTAGATGTCTTAAAAGGGAATTTTTTTATCGCTACAACAGACAAATGTACCCAGAAAGTGGTCGATCAAGTGAGACATCATATCAATGAAACTATGTCGAAGTACTTTGAAAGATTTTCTGAAGTGAAAGCTTCAACGGAAGTAGTCTCTCAAGAGTGGAAAAGTCAAGTGGGGGGAGTTAGGAAAATGGAGGCTTAATTTCCACGTTTCATTTTTTTAATTGAAAAATGTCGAAGATTTGTGAAAAAATGGTTCGCGGCTGGAATAACGCGACGTTTCTTCCCGGACAAGAGAATGATCAGATGCCTTGGGAAATTTTAAGCTTACTCGTTGCGCGTCACGTTCAAAGTCCCTTTCGCAAAGTTCAAGTCGTTATCAGTCCAGCTCTCTATCACAGGACTCCCAACCGCACGATCAATTTGTGGAGGGAACTTTTAAGAATGCGATCACTCTACATTAGATGTGAATTTGGCAAAAGTCGACCACAGAGTTACGCTGAATTCAATTCATAGAAAAAAAGGAATAAGTTGATAATGAAGGATAAAACGGATTTACACATCTCGGAGAAAAAATAGCTAAGGAAAGAAAAACCCCTTAAATTAAAACTGTTCTTGATTGGTTTTATAAGGGAACTAGCGAATTTTGTAAGAAAAACAAGTGAACAAAATGAATTTATATACCTAGAGATTGAAACTGTGTGTTTTTCAGTTCCGTCTATATGACAGTAAATCGATGTTTACAGCTGATAGCTATACGTGTCAATGTCAGTATCTGTATAACTGCGCACCTACCCCTCCCCCAACTCAAAAACAGTCAAGTGACAGCAACTTAGGGTTTATGTTGGGTTAGGGGAGGGATAGGTGTACAGTTGTCCATTGAGTAGTCCCGCAAGTGCTATATAGCTAATAAATCGTCAATAAACTTTGCGGCATTTCCAATTTTAAACGGAAGTATCTAATGAATGAGTTGCTAGTAATCAGATCCTTGTGTTTACGATCGCCATGGGGCAAACATTGCAACTCGTTAGACAGAAATGTATGGCGAAAGGTTGTTTCAATGTCCTAAAAAACGTTTTAGAGGGGAGATTATCGCTTTTTTCGCCACTGTTTTAGGTGATCCCAGAAAAGCATAAGATTTTGTTTGAACAAATGAAATGGATCCGATTACTGGCGACTCATTCATCACGCAATGGTCTTGAAATTTATATTTATATTGGCTATATATTAGCTAAATATTATCAGTTTTCTACTTCGAGCTTTTTTCTCGCCTGGGCAATACAAAAGAGCGCTACAACAGCTTCCTCGAGGCAGCAGGAAATTGATATGATGTGCTTGTGTATTGAGTATTATCGTTACACATAAAAAGGAATGAAACACCTACATTGCTTCTTTGTTTTGATCAATGAGAACGAACCAGCGCTGATAATCTGCTCAAACTGAACCCTTTCTTCTGCGAAGATAAGTAGGTGCAAATGCGTCGCTTAAGGAGCGATACACAGTTGAATATATGAGGATAAATACATGAATATAGGGGAGTTATTTCCTTGCGATTTATCGCTAATTTTGTAGTAAGTCGAGAACAATGTGTGATGACGATTTCATTGTAGACCTCACGCAAGGAGAGAAGTTTATCAGTATATTTTATAACATATTTAGTGGTAATTCTTACAAAAACTTACACTTCGCTCGTATCAGTGTTATCTCAATTCGTTTATGATTTCTCTCAAAATCTTTTTTTCTGGACGTCGAAACAACCTTTCGCCAAACAGTCCCTTCTCGCAACTTGCAATGTTCACCACGTGGTGATCCCAGTAATCTTTGCGCAAACGCAAGGATCCGATTACTAGCAACTCATTCATTGAATACAGGTTGTCCCAGTCCAATCCTAGCTTGGGAAGAAACTTTCGACTACAATCAAGGAAGGATGGGGCGTGCAAATTTTAGTGCTCGAAAACATGTTTTCGGTCAATAATAAGGAGAGGGGTAGGGGTGGGGGAATGAAGATTACGACCACGAGCTTATAACGTTAGCTCGCACTGATAAGATGCCTGCATTGCAGGCTAAAGTTTGATTATCAAACTAGAATGAGAGAAATGATAAAATGGTCTCAAACTGTTTACGTGGCAACGACGGTAACTAAAATGCTGTCTCCTGGTAACCTCAACTAAATACTGAAGATGAAAATAGGAAGCCTTGAATAGGCGACAAGAATTTCATTAAGCAATGGCAACCGCGCGAGAATGTTGCTACAACAAACTTTGCTGTGTATTTCTTTTAAAATCTGTGTATTAAAAGATGTCCAACAATCTAAGACTTGGCGCTTGAGGAGGACAACTGAGGTTAACTAAAAACAAAAACCAATTTAGTAGTTTGCCAGATTGAAAATATCTCGCCTGGTTTTATTATGGGTAGTGCACCGAGCGGTCCGCTTTCTCCATCTCGACCAGCCCTCTCTCATGACGATGTCTGCCGACTACAGAATGGCTATGAACAGCAGGCCCGAGTGATGTTGTCGAGGACTCCATTGATTCTTCCTTTAAAAAGACGACGAGCACGTTCCGTGGGACTACCAGAAGAGAACGGTACGTTTTGGGTTTACTGGCGACCAGACCATCAGAATAGACGGCATTAAGAGCAGGATTAGCTCGCTAATTGTGTGGGCCAACGAGATGATGATACAATCTCGCTGATGAAGCTTATATTTAATAAACCCAGAGGTATATTGACTGTTCTGTTCGTGTGCAGATTGAGTTGTAACGGTTTTTAGTGTCTGAATTTTCTTTCACGTTGTGGGAATATTTTCTGTTTAAAAAAAAAATTAGCCTACCGAGGAACAATTTGACATGAAGACAATTAAGTGATGTCTCATCTGTTTGAACCACATTAACTACGAGAAACATCAGGGACCTTAAGCATGCAAAGTGGCAACGCCGAGGAAGACGTTTATTAAAAAATGGGCAGTTAAAACTGCATATGGCGACTGATATAGCACAGTTGTTATAGCACTGAAAAGAACCGGAGGTTGTATGATAATGCTATTAGGTAACTTTACAGAAGAGTTGTCTCGCATGCAAGACAGAAAACCTGCTGCATCTCACATACTTATGAGGCCCTGATTCACAAGAGAAAGATGATTCAAGAACATAGTGAATACTTGACACTAAACCAATGATTAAATGGTTACAAATAATCATATTAATAATAACAATAATAATGATAATGACAACTTAAAGAGGCTAGCTCAAGAACCTCGCTGTTCCTCTGTCGGTCAATCCCTAGGCTCCAATAATGATTAAACTGGCCTTCTTTTAATTTTGATTTGCCTGTTAATTTTGAATCATTTTCTAATTTCATTGCAGTCCATATTTGTGAGACTTTTGTCTCATACAACAAGGCATTCCGCGTTGCGAATATTCTGCTATTCCTCCATTCCATCGAATGGCGCCGCCCTGTTGAACTCAACATATCGTATTTCGGACCTTACTCGCTTTGCAAATTTAGCAGCTTTTTTGAGCATTTGTCGCTGATTGAAATGGTAAAATAATCTTTTTTCGAATAAGTAAAATTTTTCTTCATCTACGATGTGCAGATCAAACCTATTTGGATATTTCTGTAGGGAAAAAGTCTTTTTTTTTTTCAATTACGTGCCGGAGACACCACTGTGAAATTATTTTGAGGTGTTTATCATCTATTGTGGTGTCACGGTTAGAGCTGAAAAAATATATCTTCGGATCTCCTGGGAATAATTCGCTGATTCAATCTCATGAATGAATTTTGATGATACGCCGATCATTCCTAGACATTTCTGCAAGGTGAAGCTCACGCACTGTTCTAAAATGATTATGAGATGTTTCTGAAGTACGCTACGAGACAAACAATAAGTAGCACCGAAAAATAGTGTGATCACCTGCTAATATTCCGTGCGACATTCGAAGCGATTCGAAACGCCACGCCTTTACCTCAACTTAACGCATATGGGTTGCGTTGAGTTCCAAATCATGGAAACTTAAGCAACTTTCCGTAGTGGATTCCCTTCTCAGACCACATAAATATTGGCGAATTGCAGAGGAAGGTTAAGAAATGTATGAAGATTCAAAACGAATGAGCTACGCTTTTGATCCTCTTATTACATATTTTGCCGGTTTGCCAAGTACGTCCTCATTGCCGTCGCCGCCGCCCAGCTCCCTAATCTTCTCTTAACTAAACAAAACATTATGATTTAAACTGGTTGTTATTTTACCTAAATGACACGAAATCTTCTCTTGATTCAAGGTAATTATGATGTTAACTTTTTGTACTTTAGATTTTGTTCGTGAGCGTGTTGAAATCGATCGACGTTAAAAATATCCCTTTTTGATGAAATCAGACTGTCTTTTAACATTTTGTTTTTATGGTTTGCTACGATCTTAAAACAAATGCATGCTCGGATACAAAGGGGGTAAGTTTTTAAAGAAACCGTGGTGCTGTGTCAGTGGAGGTATAACAAGATATATAAATTCGTAAAGGGGTAAGTTTCTAAAGAAACTGTGGTGCTGCGTCGGTGGGAGAGTATAGCAGGTAATTTAGTGTTAACAACTGGGTTGAAAATGTAAATTAGCCACCGTAAAGGGTGTTAGCGTTAGCCCTTCGTCAGAGCGATTGCGAAGGGTTAATCGATTGCTCTGACGAAGGGCTAACGCTCGAAACGTCAGCTTTTTTTACCCTTTACGGTGGCTAATTTACGTTTTCAACCCAGTTGTTAACACTAAATTACCTGCTATGTAAATTCGTCACCGTAAATAGTTTCATAAGCTGACGTTTTGAGCGTTAGCCCTGCGTCTGTTGTACGTAACCCCTTCACTCTGACCTGAAAGGGTTGACGCTCGAAACGTCAACTTTTACTAGCGCCCTGTGGTCCACATTATCAACTCAGTAGATAGAATCAAATTATCTTTAAATTAAAGTACGATTGCATGACCAGAAAGAAAACTATTTCAATGAAGATTTAATTAACTTTGCCCGTTAAGGTGAATACTTATATAATAAACAATAAACTACGGAATAGCTTCGAAAAACAACTTACTGTTTGCGAATTTTCGTGACTTTCATAATTTTCCAAAAAAATAAAACATGAGTAAATGATGGACTAACGGTTGAGTTTTTTCTGAGTTTTATGTAATCGAGATTCATTTTGGACACTCATTGGTAAACATCTGGTGCATTGCTTACCTTTCGCATGGCAATAGAAAACTCCCCACTTCGCAGAAACAAGCAATTATCACTTTCCTGTTTGCTTAATTTGCTTCCATGACAATACTATCAACAGAAAACTGTTTGCCACTTTGGTGACGTATGAACCACACCAGAGTTCCTAAACACTAAACAACCCATGTAAACGAGTAATTTCCCATGGCAACAACAGAAAGTGTTGCTAAAACAATCTGTGACAAAGATTTTAAAACAACAAGCTGTGACAATCTGTGACAAACATCTTTAAAAAAACAAGCTGACTGATTCAACCGCTTAGAGAGTGTAATCTGGGGCCGGAGGAAGACGCCACAAGCATATATCCGAAATTAAATTCCAGTGGCAGTATTTAGCGGTATTTGAATGGGGAGTTCACCAAGTAGGCCGCTAGCATCAGCATTTCCAGCTCCAAGTACCGATGAACTGTACCCCAAAGACGTGTACGAACAGCAGGCAAGAAATACATTGGCCCAGATCCGGTTGATTCCTCCTTTAAAGCGACGGCGAGCACGTTCTGTTGGTTTATCGGAAGAAAATGGTACCTTTTGGGTTTACTGGCGACCAGGATGGGAAAAGGAAAGG